CATTTAACTACTGCAGAATGCAAGATAACTATGAATATCTCACCTTTGCACACGCGAGCGACGCGCGTTTTTGACTCATATAAGCAAAAGATAGGTGTATAGATAACAACACTGACTGCTTCTATTTATTACTTCGATGGTGTCAGTTGCAGACTATCGGTTACTCTTTCGTTTTTTCTATTTCAAGTTTCATATGTATCTATTTAATTTTTTTAAATTACGGTATAAGCTTTTTGAGCTTTAGTTTTTTGCCTTCTCATGTAAAATCATATAATTACACTCTTGGTAATTTTCAGGATTTTTTGTATGTCCAGTAAATTTAGGAAATAGGAACAGTGGCATGTATACAAAATAATTAATATTACTAAGAGGCATTTTTAATATTTATGTCAACAAAAAAAAAAAAAAAACTATAGTTACGGTGCTTTTAAGGCTAACAACAAATTAGATGAGAGTTCAAATATTTTGAGTGCATTTGTTGTGTAATAACTGTTCAAATTATGAAGGCATCCATTAATACTTCTAAAAAATAATTCAAGATTTTAATTTTTATCAAGTAACTTCCAAGATTCGGCAAAAGTAAACAATACGATGTCGAGAAATTCAATACAAGATTCATCATCACCAAACATAATATTTTGAACCAGAGCACAAAAATGACATGGAGTCTGGAGAGAGAGAGAGAAAGAGAGAGGGAGTTTAATTTACATATGTTACACAAGAAAACTGTTGACAGTAATAAGTTACATGGATTACTACAAAGGTAATGGTTGAAAATTAGGGATACGATCAAACCTTGTGGAGCTGCTGCTAATGGTGCCTGTGTGAGTTCTGTCATCCTGAAGAACCAGCACTTTTAACGAGCCCGATTCTCTCAACCAGGCAGTGACAACGGACCCTGTTGATATAAATCTTCCGATGTTGCACTTTGCAATTTTAAACGGTGCACCGATGCTTATTAGCAGAGCTTCGATTGTCCTTTTTAGTGCACCATCACCTACTATCTTGCTGTGCTTCCCCCACCCAGTTAATATACTGCAAATTCCAAAACAAAAATATATATATGATTGGATAAATCAACACAAAATTTGATAAATTTTCAGACAAAAAGTAAATAAAAATAACGATACCTGAGCAGATTTGGCAACTCGTGGCCTTCGTAAACAATTGAGCGTATATTGAGCAACCAGGCATGAACCATTGCCCGTGCGGCACCTGAAGACATGAGGTGTAAATCCAGACAAGATTCGGACCAAGTATTCTCCCATACTTCACGCCGTTTTCCTTCAAGCACAACTAGCTGTGCGCCTCGCTTCTGCACACCAAAAAAAAAAACACAAAATTGTGATTAACATCAAATTACCGTTATTATTTTTTCAACAATGGTTCATGTAATAAATACGGTACCTGGCCAAAGTGCCAAAGCATGTCTGTCAGAGCATTGTAGAAAGCGGATGCTGTAGAAGAGTCCATCCGCTTCACCTCATCAAAAAGCAATAGAGCTTTCGACCAAGTGTTCTCACTATGGCCCATCAGAAGCCCATGTGCCACTCCATACACTTGATTATCGAAAAGGCGAAGCTCTTCCAGTAGCAACGATGCTTCTTCAAACGAATTACAACGGCTGAAATATATACACCAATTAGAGAAATCCCATTTGAAAAACAAAATTTACAAAGTAATGGAACAAATATTTATATACCTGCAAGCATTCAGAATAGCCGAGAAAGTAACGACATTGGGCTTAATTTCCATCTCATGCATCTTTCGGAAAACACCCAAAACACATCGAAAGTCCTTTCTCCACCTCTGGTCAAGCTTTTCATAACCCGATTTCCCACAAGATAACTGCTTAAAAACTTCCACGATTTTGTCATCATCTTTCTCTTCGACTGTGTTGTTGTCGGAAACATCTTGGAGAATCATCAGTTTCGAAGATTCCATCCGAGATTCCAAATAGCCAACAGTTTCCGATTGGCCATAGGCATTGATAATCGAATTGTAAGTGACAACGTTCGGTTGGATCCCTTCTCTCATCATCTCATCGAGCAACAGTGCAGACGATTCCACCAAACCCTTCTTACACAAGGCATCGATAAGTTTGCTGTAGAAGACAACATCCGCCTTAAGGCCTTGTCTTTTGAACTCTCTGTATACCTCCATTGCGTCTTCGTACAAACCTCCTTTAGAGTAAACACTGATTAATGTTGAGTAAGTCAATAAATTAGGGTAGAGATTCTCCTTTCTCATCTCAGTAAATAGTTCCTTAACCTTGTCGTACTTCCCTTGTTTGCCGAAACCATCCAACAGAGCGTTGTAAGTGACAACGTCCTTCTTGATCCCGATACTCTCCATTTCCTTACCAACAGCAAAAGCATCGTCGAATCTGCCAAGACTAGCATAAATACCAAGCAAAGTATTGTAAGACACTCTGTCTAACTTAATACCAGCAAACTTCATCTCGTTGAACAAATTCAACGCCCTGTCCAATCTCCCCACCTTGGCACACCCACGAATCATAGTACTGTATGTTACCTCGTTAGGGAAAACATTCTTCGCGGGCATCTCAGCCATTATCTCGAAAGCTACGTCCATCTGCCCCCCACTGCACGCAGCATCCAAAAGGGTATTATATGTATAAATATCTTGATCAATCCCTCTGTAAACCATTTCATCGAACAGATTGCGGGCAGTATCCCACAACCCTGCACCACTACAAACTGCGAGGAGAGAATTGTAGGTAATCCTATCTGGCTGCACCCCATTTTGTAACATCTCATCGAAAATATCCAAAGCCCTCCTATAATCTGCACCCCCTTTGCTACATGCATCAATCAAAGCATTATAAGTCACTAAATTTGGCTTCAAGCCCGTGTATTTCATACTCTCGAAAAGTTCAATAGCCTCGTCACAGTATCCACTCTTTGCGTAAGCACTAATCAAAGCTGAATATGCATAAACTGTATTGCCATAGCCCTCATTAACAGCATTCTCGAAGACTTTCTTGGCTAAATCGACTTTGCCTAATCTACCGAGGGTACTAATCATTGAGCTGGCCAATTTCCCCAGCTCGTTTCTTCTCTTTTCGCGACGAATTGCGAATTCGAAACATTGCATAGCCTTCAACCAATCCCCTCTATTCCCCAGCTCCCGCAGCAAAAATGTATAATCATCAGACGCACAAAGCTTCGACCCGAAACTGAGTAAAATATTATCAATACAAGTTACCTCTCCGCCGCAGGTTATGGCCTGGTGGAGAGCTTCCTCGGCAGCAGCGGAGCGGCGGCCGGAGGCAGTGGATCTAGGGCGGCCGAAGTGCATTTTCGACACAAATCTCGTGGAACGGCGGCCAGAGAAATCTGCGGCGGAGAGGCAGGAATAGTTAGGGCTAACAACCGCCGCGGCGGCTGCGGCGGAGGGTGGAGGAGGCCTTGGGGCGGCGGCATGAGAAACGTGGGTGTTTAAGGAGACCTTTTGCGGGGTCCAGTTATGGTTTTGACGGGAGGAGCTGCCCTGGTGGTGGCGGTGGTTCTGGAGGTGGTGGAAATGGTGGTTCTGGTAGGGTTTGGTGGCGGTGAGTGAACAGTGCGGTGGCGGAGTTGAGGAGGCCATCGCATAATAAGGAGATAAAAAGGTTGGACCTTTTCCCCCCTTTTGACTGTTTAGTGAGAGAGTGAGAGAGATAAAGATTCTAGAGAGAGAAAGTGAGGAGTTGAGTATAGGTGAGAGAGACGGCGACTAAAAGGACTTTTTGGTTTCATTGTTTTTATTTAGCCATTTTTTTCTTTCTTGTCTGTCGTTTTTTTATTATTTTTACTAGTAAGAGTAATAAATAACGATGATTCGGACATTGTAATCTCCACCTCATAGATTTACTACTTCGGATTTTGCCTAATTTTAAGGAGAATGACGATTTACTTCTGGATTCAGGCTAGCCCTACAGCTACTCGCTTTATTAGTTCGTGCTTCACACGCGTCGTTCAAAGTCAAAAAATAAAAATGTATGGCTTGTTTTGCCCTTATTATATTATAGAACAAAGGCCCTTTTGAATATTATTTTGGGCCAAGTAATAGTGCCAAATGGGCTGACATGGGCCTAATTAAATAGGCCTAAAGAAAATCCTAATATTCATTTTTAGACGCAAAATTAATTATTAATTTTGATTAGTGTGAGATTATCACTCCTCTTCCTCCATTTTGTCCGAATTTGTCGCATGATATCAATGGACTGTCAAGAGTCAACACAACCTGAAACAGGATAGACAAAAACCACAGGATTAAAAAAAAATTAAAAATTAAAAAGAAAATAGTAATACAAACATCAATTCCATCAGTTACTAGTTTCTTTTGTTTCATTAATCCATCTCTTGATGGAGACCAAGAAATTACATAGCTCAAATCCCTAAATTTCAAACACCAAAGAAAAATAAATATAAAGAGGAATTAGATTTCAAGAAGTTTGAAGAAAGGAAAGGAGGCGTACAGGAAATTCAAAATTAGCCTTTGTCTCAATTCCTGTATGCCAAATTTCTCTCAATGAAAACAGCCACAATTCACATTCTCTCACTACTTTTCTGCATCTCTCTCTTCCTATATTCAACCCACGCAGCACCCAATCCACCATTGGTTTTGACATGCGGATCTTCAGACGCCGGCGGCAATGATCCCGATGGCCGCAAATGGGATCCCGACGACAAATACATTATCTCCGGCGACAAAACCACCGCCGCCAAAGCCGATTACCAAGACCCTTCCTTATCTTCCACCATCCCTTACATGACCGCCAGAATATTCCAATCAGAAACTACCTACCAATTCCCCCTCCAAAATTCCACCTCCCGCACTTTGCTCCGCCTCCATTTCTACCCTTCTTCTTACCCTAATTTCAACATCTCCAATTCCTACTTCTCCGTTGTCGCAGGAAAATTCACATTGCTTCAAAACTTCAGTGCATTCCTCGCCGCGGAAGCGCTTTCTCAGGCGTATCTTGTCAAAGAATACTATCTAGCCCCATCGGATATGCCCACCCTAAACGTCACATTCAAACCATCCGCTGACCAAAACCAGTCATTCGCCTTCATTAACGGAATCGAGTTGATTTCTTCGCCACCAATCTTCGACGAGGACCCAATGTTGGTGGGGTCTGCAACGTCATCATCAAGCAGCGATTTTCAAACCTCGTCGACCGTTCCGATCGAAACCAGCAGCATGGAGACGATGTACAGATTAAACGTCGGCGGCCAATTCATTTCTCCGACGAACGATTCCGGTGGCCGGAGTTGGTACGACGACAGCGTCTATATATACGGGGCGGGCCAAGGGGTGGCCTTACAAGCCAATACCACAATCAGTTACAAAGATATGCCTTCGTATATGGCGCCATTAGATGTGTACAGTACTTACAGATCAATGGGCGCTTCTGCTGATTTAAACAAGAACAGCAATCTGACTTGGATTTTCCAGGTGGATCCTAATTTCATGTACCTCGTGAGATTCCATTGGTGCGATTCCGAGATGACGAAACCGAACCAGAGGGTTTTCGATGTGTTTGTCAACAACAAAACTGCGTCGAGCGAAGTGGATTTATTTGCAATGACATCTTCGATTGCAACTCCAACAAAAGAGGACTATGCAGTACATGTGAGCAACAAGACAAGTGAGCCTCAGATTTGGGTGACCCTTCAGCCTACAGACAAGACGAAAGCTGAATTTGCTGATGTTCTTCTCAACGGGCTGGAAATATTCAAGCTGAGCGACAATGCAAAATCGAGCCTCGCGGGGCCTAATCCTACGTGTTCCGATTTGATGAAGAAATATCAACAAGATCATGTGTTAGGGCCGAAGTCTTTCGATAATTCGAACGATACGAAGACTTCCAAGGTGGTGATCACCGGAGCGGCAGGAGGAGCCGCCGCAGTCGGAATAGCAGCCGTCATATTTCTGGCGGCGTACAAGACGAAGAAGAGAGTACCCGGAGCTGATCAAGGGTCTAGCTGGCTGCCCATTTCTTGGAATTCGAGTTCGAATACCACCGCCACGAAATCATCTGTGTTGGGCAAAAGTACTCAAAACGGAGTCTCGATTTCATCAGATGCCGCCAGCAATTGCCGCTACTTCAACTTAACGGAAATCAAGAACGCCACCAAGAACTTCGACGAGTCGAACGTGATCGGAGTTGGCGGATTCGGAAAAGTGTACAAAGGCATCGTCGATGGCAACACCAAAGTGGCGATCAAGAGATCGAATCCATCTTCCGAGCAAGGAGTGAACGAATTCCAGACGGAAATCGAGATGCTGTCGAGGCTAAGACACAGACATTTGGTCTCGTTGATAGGGTTCTGCGAAGACAATGGAGAAATGATTCTTGTTTATGACTACATGGGGAAAGGAACACTAAGGGAGCATCTTTACAAAGGGAACAAACCCTTACCCACACTGTCGTGGAAGCAGAGACTTGAGATCTGCATTGGGGCGGCGCGTGGGCTCCACTATCTCCACACAGGAGCAAAGTACACAATCATTCATAGAGATGTCAAGACAACAAACATTCTGGTGGACGATAAATGGGTGGCCAAGGTTTCGGATTTCGGGCTGTCGAAAACGGGCCCGAACATGCACAAAGGCCACGTCAGCACAGTCGTGAAAGGCAGCTTCGGGTATCTGGATCCCGAGTATTTCAGAAGGCAACAATTGACGGAGAAATCCGATGTTTACTCGTTTGGAGTTGTTCTGTTCGAGGTGTTGTGTTCGAGGCCAGCATTGAATCCAAATCTTCCCAAGGAACAAGTGAGTTTAGCCGATTGGGCTTTGCGGTGTGCGAGAAATAAAACCCTAGATGAGCTTATCGATCCCCAATTGAAAGGGGAGATTACCGAAGATTGCTTGAAGAAATTTGCAGAGACGGCGGAGAAATGCTTAGCGGATCACGGATCTGATCGGCCCACCATGGGCGACGTTCTCTGGAGCCTGGAGTCGGCGCGTCAGCTCCAGGAGAAGAGTGACGGCGGCGGCGGCGGAAGTACATTTTCTGAGACGACGGAGGGCGGTGGAGGTGCTGAAGAAATAGATCACGGTAGCATTATGGCGATGCATCGGAATACATTGAGCCTCGGAGATGAAGAAGATGTGAAGAAGAGTGGAGACAAAGATGACAGTGATGAAATTTTCTCACTGTTCGTCAATCAGAGCGGACGTTGAATTAATTTCGGATGTGGAATTTGAATTGATTAAATTAAATTAGTATGTATGTATATTGTATACTGTATAGTATAAACAAATGAACATTGCACTATTTATAAAAATCAAGGGACTGTAATTTGATTTTCCTGGTAATTTGCTCTCACATATACTACTGAATTTATTTTTGTCGAAAAGAAACACGTGTACATAAATTACAGATGAATAAATAATACAAAAAGAAAAATACAACGTGTTATTTATTTCCTGGTGGGTTCAGGACTGCTTAGTGGGGCTCAATTAAATACTACTGAATTAATTATCAAAAAAAAAAGGGTTCAGGACTGCTTAGTGGGGCTCAATTAAATTAAAACCCAATCACCTTCAAAACTCCATATTTTATATATCTTAATTAGAGTTGTCGATAATAAGATTAGAGAGGCACGATGAAAAAATAAAAAGAAAAAACCAATCTTTCTCAGTCGGAGTTGAAATTAAGAATGATAGGAGGGATGATGAAAAGGGCGAAAGTGGGTGGAGATGACGGAGGTGCTTCCAATTCCAATTCCATGGTGGGGGAGGATAATAGGATATCCGATTTGCCAGAAGGTTTATTACAGAGGATTGTTTATTTTTTCTCACACGAAGAGGCAGTCCGAACCTCGGTATTGTCCAAATCATGGCGCTACATTTGGTGCACTCGCCCTAATTTCGATTTATCAGAAACCAACTTCAAAGGAAACAAACATCATTTTCTATCCGTTGTGGAGAACACTTTGCAGCGATACACTGATCCGAATGGGCTGTTGTTGGAGGAATTTAACCTAACTGTATCGTTGATTGGTGGAGGCGATGACTAGGAGGAATCGGTTAGGGTTCTTGATAAATGGATCCAAATTATAGTTACCACAACAATGGGGGGTTGGAATTAAGGAGTTTCGTCTTTCTATTGCTTCGGAACAAGGTGGTCCGGTATATGATGTAAGGGATCATCTGGCCGAGGTACATGTTGTGCGTCTACAAGTACTTTGTCTCAAAAAGGTGTTGATCAAGCTAGAGTGTTTTGACAGGATGATTTCAAACTGCCCCCTACTATGTGTTTTGAAGATTGTCCGGGTCTGAACACAATGAAGTTGGAGAAGAAGCTTTACAAATATCTCAAGCACTTCATTTTTATTGGTAGATCCGGTCATCCCAACATTGAAATACACGACGTCACAACTCTTGAAACAATCAACATTAACTGCTGTGAGTTTAGGTTTCATGGCAGCCATAAGTTCAATAATCTCAAAGTCTCTGAAACTAAAGATGTCGGATGTTCCGTTCCTAATAATTAATGATCGGTTTCATATTGATGCCCCGAACATTTTGTATTTTGAATATTCGGGATTAGCTATTCCATCCATCTCTTATGCACCAAATTGCACTAGGTCAAAATTAGACTTGGTTTTTTGGGCTATATATTGTTCTCTGACATGGTTTCGCAAAATAAGCCAACTGCTGCAGGCTTTACGTCACTCTCGAATTTCTTTGGTTATTGTTCAACTCTGTAGGAGCATTTTTATCCTTCAGCAAGGCATTGTAGGGCATGACATTATTAATGGTGGTTTGTGTGATAAGCCTGTTGTAGTGGAGGACCTACGATTGGGTATTTATTATTTAACTAAATATCCATGTATTTTGAATGTTTTGTTTTGTTTTTGCCGCCCGATAAACGTAACTCAGCGCTGGAACAGACCTTTGACGGGAGAAATGGCAAAGAAAGAGATCACTGAGTATTTGAGCACTCTCTTAACCACGAGAGAATGTGGAAAACAAGAAAATCGGACGAAATTTGGAGGATTTAAGGTTTCAAAGACTCGATAAATGTCAAAAATGGCAACCTGTGGAGGGGGCCAAGTTGTTAGAATTATGTGCACAATCTCAACTTCCAAACATTAACAGTATCCGGTTTCGATTCAGATGGAGGAGTGATCCAAGCGCTTCACAAGTTAAAAGTGTAGACAATTAATCATTTTTTTTGTTCCCCTCAATATCTAGATGAAAAATGGCTCTTAGCAACACAGTGTGTCTGTTGGTTTTGTTTCCTAGTTTGTTTGGTTACATAAAATTATTGTCACCAAGTTGTAAATATTTCTAGTCATTCTAGAATGTACCTAAAACATTCATTGAGTTACTTTCAATCCTAGGATTCAATCAATTACCACTATGCATTAAGAATTGAGTAGTAGTTAAACACGAGCAATATTTTATTCGTATACCTATCCAAAAAACCTTGTTAACACTTACATTGATAGTAATAAGACTCAAATAAATAAAGATATAAACATTTTATATAACTTTTCATGATCATTTTGCTTCCAATTCATCCAATTCATATTCATCCATCTTCTCCTTCCCCTTGAGTTTCCTTTTTTGCTTCACTTTCTTCCTCCATCCTTGCTTCAATATCTTCATTTTCCATTCTTTCCAATGCTTCTCCTTCCCCTTGAGTTTCCTTTTTGCTTCACTTTCTTCCTCCATCCTTGCTTCAATATCTTCATTTTCCATTCTTTCCAATGCTTCCACGTATCGTCGAACCCTTATTTCCCTCTCAACTCTTTGTTGCTCTGCAATTTGGAGGTCTCGTTGTTTTATTTGTTCATACCAAGGAACTTCCGAAGAGATATCCCAATACGGTCTTCCCGTTTCGTCAACGGTATCTTCATCCCTCCAATCAGATGAGCTTATTCTCTGATCTATTGTACTTCAAGGGCTCACAATTCTAACATTAGTATCAGAAAAGGCTCTAAGTTCCATCTAATAGCTTCGAAAACAATTATTGTAGGTTAACATTACAAAATTGGATGTTGATTTTGTTTCATATATAGGACAGTTAAGATTTTTCCAGCATCAAATATGTCTATCCATGATGCAATTTTTCTTTTTTTTTTTTGGATGGCATACTATTTTTATGTATACAGTACTAACCATTCATTTCCGAAGTATCCTCTGCGGGAGTCTGATTGTTGAATTTTGCCGGCTTACTTCCGGATAAACAGCCATGTGACATAACCACGAAAGGGCAAGTCGAAGGATCATGTGAGTAGGTCATTTTGTTCTTCAATGACTCAGATATGCCTTCCCCTGTTAAATTGTATAGAGACAGAAACAAAAATTACGACAAGAAAAATTTATAAGCTCAAAAAGGAAAATTTTCAAACTGAGAGAGTTCAGATTTTTCATACTTTGTCGATCCTCGGATATTTTAACCTTGATCCCGTGCTCGTCAAGATATTGAATTCGGCCGACGTACTCCTTAAGGCATTGTTCGACCTCTTCTGCAAATTTTCTATGAACGAATTGGTCTGTTCTTTTCACTCCTCTGAGATCGGTCAGCTTTCCCCTAAAATGAACATGAATCAGAGTGAAGAGACCCCTATGATATGTAACCCATTCTTTTTTAAATATACTTACAAATTCGTCGTTGTCATAGGATATTCCAAATTGAGCAACAGTAATAGTACACCAGCCCTCAAAAGTTCAAGAGAGCTAATAATCGACTCGAGTTCGTTTTCTACACCTTGTGCACTAAAGAGAGCTACATGCCTGAAATTTCAAGTGCATGCAACATAATTAAAAAGGGCAAATAAAAAAGGGAAGTGCTAGTTTGGTGAACTATCCAATTTGTACCTGGCCAAGCCATTTTCCTTGTTTTCTATCAAGTACATCCTTGTTAAATTTTCTTGACCAAGTTTACTTTTGTTAGCAATACAACATTCCGGAGATAGTTCCCTGCAACCTGCATATCAATAGGATGATATTGACATGCACGTTTCAATCGTAAAAATTTGCAATGTTGCACCACTCGCAATGTAATATTCTCATAGCTAAGTTAGTATACTTGGCATATGCAACGGTTATCTTATTCAACTCAAGAGTAATACTTCAATGCAGCTAAGTTAGTATATTTGATATGTGCAACGGTTATCTTATTCAACTCAAGAGCAATACTTCAATGCGGCAATTAAAACAATAATACTTCTTATTATGCTATTTTATATGCTCTGTAGACAGTAGAAATCCGATTGAGAAAGTTACCCACATGTTCATCAAGCACTCACCAACCCAGAGAACCTAATGTAAATAGCCTCCTAAGTCCTAAGGCACAGTCAGAAAAGGTTGTACATATTCATGCTAGCATATTGCAGACCGAAAGGCGTTTCCCACAGCAAATCTAATTTGCAATTGTAATTTATTTCAAATCAGAAATAAACATAAAGTAAACCAAACCAATAATTCATAATCCTATAAAGGAAGTTAAAAATAAAATAAAAACATATACTATTTATATATTGATAGTGAACTGGAAAATGTAAGTTTCTAGACGAATAAATGAAGCCTCGTTATGTTTCCAACAATTTTTAAAAAGGTATATTGTAAAATAGTATAGATTGGCCCGAAAAGATTATTATTATCAAGCTAAATTTCTAGAAATTATCAGAGAAGAGATTCCGTAGGAATAGTTCAATTGGAGTTTGGTTGACCCTTGCTGTGTATGTTTTAGAAGAAAAAAAAAAGTGCAAAATTAATTCCACCTCAGATTCCTCGTGCCTCGATTTCACTTTCATCCTAATACAGAAAACCATAAGCCTCTCCCATTCTGTGTTTTCCTATCCATTTATCTCCTTATGAAATATGCACCGCACATCTAATTTCAACTTATTTACTCGAAGATATGGAAGTGGTCCGATATATTGTACGTCAAGTGCTCACAATTCTAGGAAGAAATGATAAGGAACGCCAAATTGGATTCGAATTGGAAAATAACTATTTAATTCGTAGAAGAGTTATTTATGGGCATCGGTGGAGATACCGAAAGAAATTACGGAAAAATAAGGGTTTTCAACGAACTCAAATTGTATTTGAGTACGAAACGAACTCTATCTCAAGTAAAACGGCGTAAGGAACAAAACTCATGAGCAAAGCTCATGAATCACGTCAAATTTCAGCAATCCAACGTCGTTTGGACTCCTAAAAGTTCGTTTTTGCTATTTTAGGTAAGTTTTAGAAAATTAATATCAAATCATAGAAAAATCGGATTAGGATTCCGTAAATTGGGTTGTTCCCAAAATTACGAGATCTACTAGAATCAAACTCTAACTCGTTTTTGCCGTTTTTGGTAATTTTTAGTATTTTCTTAGTTTAATTAGGGTTTTCAGTTTTTTAGTATAAATAGCTGCCTTAGGTCTTTATTTTAAAAAGAATTTTCGAATTTTAATAAAATATTTAGAGTTTTCTCTATTTTTCTGGTGGATTCCAGAGTTTTCGGTGGATTCCGAATGTTATTTTGTTCTATAGGATTAATTCGTAGAAATTAATTCTTTACCGTGCTTCCGTTCTGCGTCAGTTGGTATCAATTGATAAGGAACGCCAAATTGGATTCGAATTGGAAAATAACTATTTAATTCGTAGAAGAGTTATTTATGGGCATCGGTGGAGATACCGAAAGAAATTACGGAAAAATAAGGGTTTTCAACGAACTCAAATTGTATTTGAGTACGAAACGAACTCTATCTCAAGTAAAACGGCGTAAGGAACAAAACTCATGAGCAAAGCTCATGAATCACGTCAAATTTCAGCAATCCAACGTCGTTTGGACTCCTAAAAGTTCGTTTTTGCTATTTTAGGTAAGTTTTAGAAAATTAATATCAAATCATAGAAAAATCGGATTAGGATTCCGTAAATTGGGTTGTTCCCAAAATTACGAGATCTACTAGAATCAAACTCTAACTCGTTTTTGCCGTTTTTGGTAATTTTTAGTATTTTCTTAGTTTAATTAGGGTTTTCAGTTTTTTAGTATAAATAGCTGCCTTAGGTCTTTATTTTGAAAAGAATTTTCGAATTTTAATAAAATATTTAGAGTTTTCTCTATTTTTCTGGTGGATTCCAGAGTTTTCGGTGGATTCCGAATGTTATTTTGTTCTATAGGATTAATTCGTAGAAATTAATTCTTTACCGTGCTTCCGTTCTGCGTCAGTTGGCATCAGTAGCGAGGTTTTTCCTGGTTAGATGGCGAAAGGTGCGAGACATGGAGACAACAACTACGTTGGCGATGACCGCGGGGTTGAGAAACTGCAAAATCTGCGGTTGGTGCGCGAGGGATTTGCCCTTGACAACAACAACAGAAGGACTGAATCTAACACGATGATTGCCGACGGTGTAGCCCGAGGTGCATATGTTAGACACAATTATCATGGACCTGTTCAACTTCAATCAAGGTATGAAGACTATTCAAAGGGAAGCGACAACTCTGATTTTGAAGAAAATCCGCCTAGAAGGAGGCAAAAAGATCGTGATAAATATCGGGTAAGAGCTGAAATTCCTTCTTTTAGTGGAAATTTTCTTGAAGTTGAGGATTTTATCGATTGGGTGTCAGAAGTCGAAAATTATTTTGAATTGATGGGTATTTTGCCGAATAAGATGGTAAAATTGGTTAGGTGTGAGTTAAAGGGTTGTGCAGCCGCATGGTGGGATGAAATACAGAGGAAGAGAGCTAGACAAGAAAAATTTCCAATCCAATCATGGAAGAGGATGAGAAAAATGTTGATGGATCGTTTTTTACCCCTAGGTTATGAGCAACGTCTATTTCAACTATATAGTAATTGTTCGCAAGGGAGTAGATCTGTTAACAAGTATACTGCTGAGTTTATGAGACTAGCAGACTTAAATAACCTGCAAGAATCCGAAAGTATGGAAATTTCAAGGTACTTGCAAGGATTGAATATTTCAATCCGTCTTAGGATGGGGTGGCGCGCATTCGACTCCTTTGAAGAGGCTGAAGAGTTAGCATGGAGCGAGGAATATTATCAGAAGCGAAATAGTTCTTCGAGAAAAATAAAAGATGTTCCACCCGTTGCCAAAGTTAAGGAGGTACAAGATACTTCGTTCGTTATTCAAGCATCCGGTTTGGTGGAGGATCATGGCGTACGAGTTAACAAAGTTGAAGAAGAAATTGTTGACGCAAAAGTTAAAATTAGCGTAGCTATGATTAACGATGACATTAACAAAATCAAGGTGAAAGTCAATGAAGTTGAAAGGGGAGTCAACGAGGTTGAAGAGAGCATCAACAAAGTCGAAGATAGCGTCAACGGGGTAGAAGAGAATGTTAGCAAGGTTGAAGAGGGAGTCGATGAGTTTCGAGAGGATGTTAAAAATAAATTTGAGGAAGAATTTGAAGTTGTTAAATTTGTTCAAGAAGAGGAAGGTGCACGTGAAGAGAAGGAACAAGTGGATTGCGTCGAGGTATGTGATCTAATTGTAGATAGTGTTTGCTGTGAAGTTCATGTAATGGAGAAATTGGTGGAGCCATTGAGATCTTCGATTAAGAAGCCAATTTTTCCAACGCCTCGTTTGGATGAAGATTTTGTAAGCGAGATTTTTGTGCCGGGAATATTGGTGGAGCACTTGAAGTTGTTTCGAAAGAAATATGTATCGCTATATTTTGATCATAGCTCGAGGTCGAGCTCTTTTGAAGAAGAGGAGATTGATAAGGAACGCCAAATTGGATTCGAATTGGAAAATAACTATTTAATTCGTAGAAGAGTTATTTATGGGCATCGGTGGAGATACCGAAAGAAATTACGGAAAAATAAGGGTTTTCAACGAACTCAAATTGTATTTGAGTACGAAACGAACTCTATCTCAAGTAAAACGGCGTAAGGAACAAAACTCATGAGCAAAGCTCATGAATCACGTCAAATTTCAGCAATCCAACGTCGTTTGGACTCCTAAAAGTTCGTTTTTGCTATTTTAGGTAAGTTTTAGAAAATTAATATCAAATCATAGAAAAATCGGATTAGGATTCCGTAAATTGGGTTGTTCCCAAAATTACGAGATCTACTAGAATCAAACTCTAACTCGTTTTTGCCGTTTTTGGTAATTTTTAGTATTTTCTTAGTTTAATTAGGGTTTTCAGTTTTTTAGTATAAATAGCTGCCTTAGGTCTTTATTTTAAAAAGAATTTTCGAATAATTGCAGTCTAATTGAATTACAGAGAGTTTTCTTCTAAAAAAATATTCAATAATTGCAGTCTATAAATGGAGCAGCTTATGAACATACCTTGAAGTCGAGTTTCCAGCTGCTTAGTTTTCAGTTGACTGAGATCGGTTACTCTTCGCCTGAATTTGCAAAGCACCGCGAGTGAGAATAAGACCTATCTGATGTTTATACACGTCACACAGGCAATCAATATGTAAATACTTACAGATTCGTGTTGATCTGAGTTTCAACACTCTTCAATAGCAAGTATGATTCCGATCCATCATCCCTCAAAATCTCAGCCGATTTTTTGCTAGTAACTAAATTCGGATTGTTTATCACAAAACCTAATGCTGTAGCAAAAACCTCTACAGCACTACAATTGTAAGGAAAAAAAAAATCAGTAGGAAACATGAAAATGATTGGGGAAATTTCCGATTCCTAAATTATTATTTATTTCTACTCGTTATTGAATTCAACAATACCTTGCTAAGCAATCGTCATGATTATGTTTCAGGTACATCTGAATCTGACTACTGACCTGAGTACCTACTAAATTGTACAAAAAACATGAAACAAAAATTACACTAGTTCGAGAACAGAATCAGCTATATTTCATACTTGTTGTTTTCTGTTCCTAATCATAATAAATTAAACAGACGGCATACTACTTCGATCTATTGAATAACCTGAATTGTTGTCAGAATCCATCGCATCTGTTCTGGATTTCACCGTCGTCATTTGCTAGCTCCACTGATTTCTCAAAAATCTGGTACCGGTCTGATTTTTTTTCACCGAATGAAACGAAGTTTCTGATTTCTTAAAGTAGCTGCAATTTTATCCGTTTATGCTGTGCGATTCAGAATAAGAAGAAAAAACCAGAGTAACTTCGGAATTAGATCGGAGAAAATTGAAAGAGATGAAGAGATTCAGAGAAGTTTCGGGAACAGGCGGGAAAACGGAAATGCTGAAGGCGTGACTCTGGTTCTCAGCTGGGAAAAATTGGAGTTTAATCCTATTATTATTGGAGTAATTTTTAATTTTTTTTCGAAATCTCGCTAATGAAAGGCAGCCACGTGGCACACAATTTAAACGGCATTTGCCACATCACGCAGAAATGTTTAGGCTTGAAATATATTTTTGGGGGCAAAGTGGACTTTTAACCCATCTATCAAACGTCGCCGTTTGGAATCAAGTCATGAACGGCTGTAAGGTGGAAAGTAGTAAATAGAAAAAAGTTGACCCCCATATGTGATGTCTGTGATTCATATCTGGAATTTGAACTTTATTCCCATATACATATACATAATACATATATATATAATATGTATATATATCTCAACTTCAATTTTTATACAGCGAAGAAATCGTAAAACGACAAATTTGTGAAGCGGAGCAACCATTTTTCTTTTCCCCGACGGCGGAATACGCCGGTAATTTTGTGGATACGTATTTGAAGAAATCGTTTCTCAATTCTCCTCACTCGTCGACTTTTGCCCTAGCATAGATCAGGATCAGGTACTATTTTTTTTTATTTATTCCTGTTAATAATTTTACCCAAACTGACTTTAATTTCTATATGCTGATAGTTTCCTTAATATCAGGTCGAAATTATCGAATTGCTAATTTGATTCTGGAGTATTTGATTTTTCTATGGGATAATTTCACGAAAATCTGGAATCATTTAACTGAATTTCAATGTTTTCCGTGTGTTTTTACTATGAGTATGTTGAATCTAAGGTTTTGTCATAAGCAGCCGATACTTTAGAATCGTAGTTATTGATTCGTGATTTTTCTTTTTGTAGTGCTTAAGATTTGAAGTTTGTGGGAGAATATAATGGCGAAGATCAAACCTCAAGCTCTCTTACTGCAGAGTAAAAAGAAGAAGGGACCCAGTCGAATTAGTCTCGTTACAATTGCAATTTACGGACTGATTGTTGTTGTCATGGCGTTTTTTCTTTTCACCTCCTACAGACATTGGAATCGGAGGTTTTCTCATTTTTATTTTTATTTAATTGTGATATATTTTGTGTTTTTACTGTATGGCTGCTTAGTTGAAGATGAGTTACTCTCCTAGTAACTTATTTATGATTATTTGCCGTATTGAATCGAATGTGGAGAAGTGAGGGCTAGGTAAATATCGTGAAACTATGTTGATTTAAGATCGTTCTAGGGACATTCAGGGGAAACTACCCGGATTTGTTTCTCATACTAGGTTCGAATTCCTTTTGTGCTAATAACCCTATGAAACAAGATACTTATAGAATACAATTTATTTCCACTATAATATTAAATGTATTATGGTTGTAGGTATTGCTTTTGCTTTTAATTTGGTTATACTGATTTTTACTGTACAACAATTCAGTGAAAGATACACATTCCTTTTGATGGAAAGCGACCAATAAATTCCATTGAGTAACTGTTATGAATGAGTTGTAGTACTAGATTTTAGAGGAGTCGTTCGGGGATATACTGCAGCATATGTATTTACATTTTTGTGCTAAAACAGAAGGTCGTAAAATGGTGATTACATTGTTCATAACCTTCATTTGTTTATATTGCTCAGGTCAAATTTTCAGGAGGAGGATAATTTATCGAGTGCAGAGGTACAGTTGTCCTGTAATGATTTATGCAACAACTACTTTATTTAATATGTTGTACTTCAGTATGTTTTACTACTCAATTTGACAAATGGAAGTTCGAACTTGTACTGCGGATTACATAGTCATAGATTTTTACTTCACATTCTCTTGATGTTAAAAGTAATCACAGGCACCAACTATGGCATTCTCTTTATTTGCTTCCACTTTTTTTTTTTTTTTTTTTTTTTTCTGAAGTCATTTATTTCTGCTTTTTTGCAGCATGACTCATTTGGTGATTCAAAGAAAGTTGATGTGCCAAAATATGCGGTAAGTTTTCTGGCGAGCTAATTTATTCATGGATTGTTACTCTCTACTAGATTGAATTGAATTTAATATTTCCATGAGGTATAAGAAGATTGATACCCCCAAAAAGTGTTTGTGTTTATGGATTATATTGTTACTCACTATACCTTGCATTTTCCCAGCTTGTAATTTGCTTTAAGTTTCTGATCTGACATGAGCGCTTTAAATTACAGATAACAAACAGTTACTACTAATGACATAGTTACTCATAATTTGTTCTTTCCAAAATCATGTTTGATCTCATCTGTATGTTGGTTTGGCAATTTTAGATTCCTGCATTTTTCATCTGTTCCTTTGGTTCTTTCGTTACCGTTTTAGGAATATGTTAACACGTAAATATGTGAACAGGTGATAACAACTTCGAAAGGCTCAATAACTGTGGAACTTTACAAGGAAGGTTCTCCAGAAGTTGTTAGTGAATTTATTAAGTCGTGGTATGTACTACATTGATTGCTTTACAAATAAATTGCATTTTAATCTCTGCAAATGTAACCTGTGTAGCGCCGAATAATTTCCCCCCTGCTCTTGTTACTTTTTGTGATTATTTTGAACAAATTTTCTGCCCAAGGCAGTCCGACCGATGTGCTGCTCCTTTTATTTTGTTTTTTCCAAAGAATAAAGTCTCAATTGGCATGATTTCACTATCCAATTTGATTTGCAGTCATAAAGGACGCTTCAAAGGAATGCTTTTTAACCGTGTAATAAAGAACTTTGTCATTCAAGGAGGTGATGTTAATAGACCTGGAAATATGGAAGATTGGACCTCAAGGGGAAAACATTACAATCAACTCGATACAAGGTTTGTCTTATGTCAGATCTCATATACTTTCAGTCAAAGTCAACATTATCATAAAAAGCCAAACGTCCTATTGAATATATTATTCTTGTACTAGCCTGAAGCATGAGGCATTTATGCTGGGCACTTCCAAGACAAAACATGATGGTGGTGGATTCGATCTTTTTATCACTACAGCACCAATCCCAGACCTAAACGAGAAAATTAATGTATTCGGACGTGTCATAAAGGGTGAAGATGTTGTTCAGGTTACAACTCTTACTGCTCTTCGACATTCCTGTTTTACAATTTTAATCAATACTACTGACTAGACCTGAAATTTTAGCTGTCGAAAAGTTTGTGAAATATTCCTTACAGCTTCTGAAATTATATCACTTTTTATTGGCAAGAAGCCAATATCTGTTCAGTGTTCTCTATGTTGATAATTGTTTTCGATCTGTTTTGTTATTCCTGTTATAATTAAATTTTACCGAGTAGTGACTTGTACATTTAATGCATGATTTGGATTTCAGGAAATTGAAGAGGCAGACACGGATGAGCATTATCGGCCTAAAGCACCCATAGGCATCATAGAAGTTACCTTAAAACAAAAGTTGTAATGGAAGTTATGCTCCGTGATAGTCTTCTGCCTTAGGATGAAACCATCTGATTAGAGGAAACGATCTTATGGTTTGAGTTATTATCTTCTTGTGTCACTGTCGCATGCGGACTCTTATTCCTCTAAATGTTTGCTGATTGTACAATCACTTCTGATGCACAAGGGCTTCTTCATTTGCTCCATTTTGTATAATTTGCCTCCCATTTGATCCTATTCCTTATTACTTTCTACTGTATTTTGTACACAAATTGCTTTTTGTTCACATTACAAAGATTTTGTTGTCCTGAATATCTGATGACAGTTTATTTGAATTACTCGAGCGAACATTTTTTACTACGTATCAGTTATCACTGTATTGTAATTTGGTATTGTTGTAATATATGTGATCCAGGATCTCAATTGAAGTATTCAGCACACAAGATTTATAAATGAATTTACAGCACACATTTTGTAATTGAACCCAAAACCTCAAACCACAAGAATATAAGTGGTGCCACATAACTACAAAGTTGCTGTTGCTGGTTGATAATACAAATTCTCAATTCAACCATCTAACCAAGTTAAATTATTCATCTTCAACTTATTGTTCATAGGAACTGCTCTCTGTACCAAAAACTTACTGTCAAGTCAACTGCACCATCTTCGTTTCAAGACTCAACCTCTGCTCTATGTGGAATATTCTGCCCTAATGCCGTTATTGGAAAGAGAAATCCGATTTTTTCTGCTCAGTGTGACCTATATAAATTCTCTCCATTACAGACATGGAGAGAATATAGGCAAGTGCATTCGTCATTCAGGGCAAACAGTTGCAAGCAAATCTTCAAGCTCCTTGTTCGTTTTAATCCCATCCTCCTCAATCCTTGCACGCATATCAAGCTGTGTTTTACCAGCAGCCACATAGGTCTGAAGCAACATTTTCAACAAATCTCTGTCGATGCAATTTATCCTCTTCATCAACTTATAGAATTCCTCAGCACCGTCCACGTCGCCCTCTTTCTTGAAATAGTCCAGAAATTTCTCTGTGGTGTCAGATTTAGGGCGCCATTCACCTTCGCGAACTCTAGATGTAGCGATATCCATTATCTCCAAAGCTTGCTTTATTTGATTCTTTTTCAGGAAAAAAATCACAAACATTTCCCATGCAGTGAAGAAAGGTCCTCTCGATCTACTGACAGCATTTTGGAGGGTCGACTCAGCTTCTTCAAGCATTCCTTGTGTTAGGTAAGCACCGATAGCTGTATTGGCCAATCTAACATCGTAATTAGAACATCCCAACTCCCATTCCTCAAAGCATTTCTTCACTCCCTTTATATCTTCCAAATTCCTAAGAGATTGAAGCATGATAATATAACTATTATTTGTTACTACTCTCATAGTTGACTTCAAAGCCTTCCAAATTCGATGGACATTGTGAAGATCGGATATTCCAGCATACAAGGTTATCAAGAAATGGTACGCCTCACGATCATTAGGGCGCATTTCCTTCTCCAGATTCTGCAGTGCCAAAGCAGCTTTTTCTTTATATCCAACCCTAGTGTAGAGAATAGCCAAATTACTATATGTCGTCCAATTACACTGCTTCGCATTTTCCCGTTTCATCTCTTCGAAAACTCTCTCAGCTCCCTCGATATCATTCAAAAGCGAGTAGCTATTCATCAACAAGTTGTAGGAAAACGTGTCTGGTTGAATATTTCTCTTCTTCATTTCTTCGGCTAAGATAGGAACTTTCTCTGGTTGGCCTAATCTGATATACAAGGACATGAGATTGTTGAGAGGTAATGGTGTGGATACCATGTTCTCTTTAACCATTGTAGCAAATAGATCGAGTGCTTTATCGGTCATCTTCTCCGTACAGTAGCAGTTCAGAAGTGATCCGTAAGTGCAATGAACCTTAACAGAGGGTGAGAGGCCACTGAAGTAATTTTCAGCTGCAGCTATTCCTTGAGCTTTTGCAATCAGATCCAATCGCACCGCATAATCTTTATGCCCAAAGTTAAACTTTCGAACATCCATCCAATCCATTATCTGGATGTATTAATAAGTTCAAAAAAAAAAGAAAAGGTCAATCTCTATCCAAAACAATAACCACAATGAAAAGGAAGGCATGGATAATTCACACCAAAATAGTTATATTCTATGGAGTTGACGCGATGATTTTGCCCAAAAAATGCAGTTCAAGTTTTCAAATGACATGATCAATCAATCGATAACCGATACGAGAAAACAAAAATAAGCTTCTTCTGAAAAGTAGACACTATACTTAGCAACTTATAAGTAAACCGGTTGGTTTGATACAAACATGAATATGGTGTTGCTTCTTAATTCAAGCATTCTTCAGTGAACTTAATGCAATCCGAACTTTTATGTTAATCATCATTTTACAGAGAACAAATCATAAAAATTGAAGCATAGCCACACAATTACACACACAGAGAGAGAAATTGTAGAGAGAGAGAAGAGCGTGAACCTCGAGAGCGTGGTTGAATCTTTTGTATTTGCGGAGTTGCTTGATACAGGCCTCAAGTTCAAACTTGCTGACGGATCTGCCCTCCCTTATGTACTCATTTATCGTACTTGCCACCGTCCCCTTTTTATTTCCCAACGCAGACAATCTCCGGTACAAACGGTCCTCCTGTCCGGCCGTCGCCGCCGCCGACGCCTCAGCTTTCACCGCCGTGGAGAACTCACGAACCAATGCAGAAGATCCGGGTGCAAATCGTCGGCTGAGATTCGCCATTGTCAATCACCGACGTAGGCACTTTTTTACTAAGAAAAAGGGTTTATCGACTAGGGTTTAGTCAGCTGATAGAAAAGTAGAAATGAAAGCTACGATAAATTGCTAATGCGCCGTGTTTGGCCAGGCCTTGACCTGTATTTTAGTAGCTGACAAATTAAATAATAATTATCATATTATTATACAGTTGTATTTCCACGTGTCACAAATAAATTGAATTGCAAATTTGCTCATTAGCCCTTAATTTATCTTCTGTATTTATTTTCCAATGTTGAATGAATAAAAGGAACAGTTGGAAGGGTGGAGAGCTTGAAGGTGTACGGCTATGGCGCTTCTGAATCACCGACCACTCGTCTCAATCTCAATCCCCTCTCTCAATTCTCCAACAATCAAACCTTCTTCTCGATTTTCCTGTTTCTCGCTCCGATCAAATTCTGTACACAACCAACTCTTCGTTTAATTGTTATTTCAATTAGATTCACTAATTTTACCCTTTTCGTTTTCCCGTGAATTAATTAATTAATAAATAAATAAATAAATCCTGCAGGTAGAAGCAGTTGAGTTGAAGTCTTCGCCGCCGCAAGAGTATAAGCCCGGGATGATTGATGATATTTTCTTAAACGTATTTCGTAGCAAAATGGCAAAGGTCAATACTTCTTTTATTATTATTAATTATTATTATTATTATTATTCCTTGATTAAAATTTAATAATTGTTTAAATTATTGACAGGAGAATGGATGGGACTCTGAAAAGCCTGGATACGATGGAATAATTGATGCAGCTCATCGCCTAATGCGTGGTCGATCCAATTCTGAAGCAACTAAAGCTTCGGTATATCACAATTTCCTCTGTTTCATAACCAATTTCTTCTAAAGAAGTTGCATTGAGTTTAAGTTTGCTGCTAATTATTTTTAATATGCTGTTTAGTTAGTTTATGGTGATATTAATTTATGTGGCAGATCCGGGTATTAAGATCACTGTTTCCTCAATGGCTATTGGAGCTCTATAAAATGCTTATTTCACCTGTTGCTGGTGGCAAGGTGGCATCCGTAATGGTTGGTGAGTATTTTGATGGCTTATTTGACCGATTTCGCCTTGTGTAACTAATCGTATTTTGACCGATTTTGTCTTAATCCGGATTGTTTTGCTTTCCGTATCTAAAACTAAACCTGGAAGTTTAATTCAGGAAAATTTTAGTGGATGTTTCATAATTGAATGGTGTTCTTGCATGTGTTGTGTTTCTGGAAGCAAGGGTGACTGCGCTTTCGTGTCAATGGCTCATGGGAAAGTGCATCGTTAACTCTGTCGATATGCCTAATGGATCGACATGGACTAGTGGGGTAAGGTTATAAATTTTCTTGTTTTCGTTGCTCGTCCTAGTTGAGCTGATTGGTTAGTCGATTTAGGTCTTTGTTGAGAAATGCAAGTACTTGGAGGAGAGCAAATGTGTTGGTGTATGTATCAATACGTGCAAACTTCCGACGCAGGTTAGTAGCTCTCACTATCCTTCACAAGTTTGTTTTTCACCTTTTTGCCGTAATTTAACCATGAAGAAGCAATTGAAACTGATATTTATTCGTGAGATTGATTCACTGTATGCATATATAACTTTTAAATTCTAAGAAAGGATTTTCCAATGATCTGATCGTACATCTCATAGTCTCGTTTTATGTATCTACTGCAACATGGTTAGCATAAAGGAATGAATACACAAAAATGTTCTTGTTTTACTAACTTCGACTTGTTTTGATTTGCTAGGCCTTTTTCAACGAGTACATGGGAGTTCCTTTAGTGATGGAGCCCAATTTCATCGATTATAGCTGCCAGGTATCACATGATTCAAATGTACCTCAATCCTCTCATATTCATTTTTTTTTTTTTTTGCATACAGAAATCCAGTCCAAGCAAGATCTCATCATTAATTTTAATGTTGTTTATATATTTCCTGGCATGTGATATGACCAATGGCAGTTCAAATTTGGGGTGGCACCTCCTCCACCAGAAGACGACACTGCACTCAAGGAGCCATGCCTCCAGATATGCCCGACTGCCAATCGACGCAGGGAAATTAATACTGCTACGGATGTCTCAAAATGTCCAAAGGCTTAAAATTTGGTTCATACACAACAATGTTATATTGACAAATACACAACTGCATTGCAAGAACTTTGCTATAAATTAACATGGCACCACACTGGTGGTAAAATTACATCGTTCTAATTTGTGTTAGCAGATGACACAACTAATATTTTGCTAATCCATTCAACAAATGCTTTATATACTTAATCACCTCCTGTAAACAACACATATCCAATATTACATTGTTAAATTACACAGCTCCCGAAAATCAATGGAATGAAGTTGGCCTGTGCTCACAGTTGCTAAAATCGTTTTCCTTAAAGAGGACTCCATACCATGAAAAATTAGCATAGAAGGGAACATATCTGTAAGCACATAATGTTGTACATCCGTCTCTAGTTTGTACAACAGTCCTGTGACCAAGCAATAAATTAACAACGTAACGATTGGCAAGTAAACCCACCTGCAGAAGTTTTTTTTTTTTAAATAAACTAAATTCACGATCAAAACAAGTGCAACAGCGACGCCACTGACAGGCCAAGGCCATAAATACAGATACAACAGCATCAAATGGGGGCTTTAATCAAAACATAACTTGATTCCACATGCGAAAATATCAGAACATTAACGATCCCAGCCCGAGGGTCTCCTTCTTTCTCTTGTTCTATCTCTGAAAACGAAAGCAATAGTAAATAAGAATGACATTATTTTCCCAGCAGAAATAGATGCAGCGAAAGCAAGAATCAACAAGATATGGCCACAAATGCAAGGTGTACATTGATATATACAATCAATCATAAAACATTCGAAGCTTTCTCCATATTTCTCCATATACATAAACAAGAAGACAAGTTGAGAGCAGAATGTTACCTTTCAGTGGGAGTCTGTTTCGCAGTTTCTCTGGAGCTGGGTGTAGTATTTGATGCAGAAGCGGTAGAGCTTGTACTGTTTATTTTTGCAGCATGAATATCACCACCGATTGTCCCACCAGATACAAACCCAGGTAGAGCCGTTCTTCTATGGGTTTGAACGCCTGCGCTGCTTTGTAGGAACTGATTCTGAGAATTTGATGATGCAGGAACAAAGTTGTTTCTGGCTTGTGACATCATCCCTGTCCTTAGTGAATTAACTGCCGCAGGACGACTGGGAGTGGCATTCGATGCAGGTTTTGATTCTGAATTGTACCCGATCCCCAAACCAAAGTCCACACCACGAACACCTCTACCGCTACTTCCCCTTCCTTTTGCTCTTTTTCCACCTGCAATAGTAGAATAGGCTTTCAGAACTCCAATAAGATTTAAAAAAAAAAAAAAAAAAGAAGATATCTACAGGTATGCCACATATTACATCTTTAAATTCCACTAGGTAATTTGTTTTCACATAAAGAGCCCTGCTGCAAACACTACTGAGATAAATAGCCTCTTATTTTTAAACCCAAGTTTGGGAAAACATAAATAAAACCACGAGTATATTATAGCAGATGGAAATATCATACCTCCTTTCCGTGCGTCACGTTTGGATCTGAACCTTCCATCCTAATTATTTAGGAAGTAAATGTCACTCACAGAAACATAAAACTAAATATGCAAAATGTAATGATAAATTCAAGCAATCATGGAGACAGTATAGAAGATTTTTTTGTTCTAAAACATGACCTGAATATGATTGCAGAACAATTATATATGTATAGAACAGGAAAAGGGTTGCCTTATTTGCACCAAAAAACCCCATTGAATCAGTTTTCTGTCCGCTTTTTCACGTTGATCCTAAGTCAGGATGGATCCACCCTTGGACTAGGCTGGTCTCTAAAGCCCACCCTCAATCCAATTTATTTACACTACATAATAGCCTATTTATTTATTTAGCCCACTTCCAATTTTTGCACGCTACATAATAGCCTATTTGCTTATTTACCCAATTTATTTCATCTAGCCCACCCAATCATGAAGATTTTTCACAAAATGAAAAATTGAAATGGTCGTTCTGTAGTTGTAATTTCTAAGTAGTTTACATGATAATGAATTGAGATATAACCTTATAGAGTTTAATTTATGCTGTATTAATTAAATATTACAAATATTTACTTGATTTAAGTCATTTTAAACTAAAAATCCTAAAAAGAAAAAATCAGGGGCTCTCATGTATTTTAATTCACCCTCAATATACAATCCTGACTCCTCCATTGATCCTAAGTGAAGTATCTCCAGCACAATTCTATAAGTTGATTATACAAGCCAATCATCCTATCACTATACAAGTAGAACCATTTCTTTATAAGTCTTACCTAGATTATTATTTACTGCAGTAAGTGACCATTTGCTAAGTATACATTGGAGAAAATGAAGGGAAGTTGAAAACTATTGAAACGTATTGTGTGTTACAATTAAAAAATTTCACACCACAACTAAACATCACATAATTTTAACAGTGTTAACATTTTTATTCTTAAAATTTTGAAGGCGAGCAAAACTAAGCCAAGGAAATACCTTCATAGCCAGATCCATGAGCTCCATCGGCACATTCTGACCAGCAGCAACCAAACTGTTGATCAGCTCACCAGCAAATCTCACCTCCTTTTGTGTTATGAGAGTGTATGCAGTTCCATCTTTGTCACCAGCACGACCTGTCCTTCCAATTCGGTGAACATGCATGTCCATATCTTTAGCTATATCGAAATTTACAACAGATTTTATTGACTTGATGTCAAGACCACGAGCTGCAACATCGGTTGCAATAAGAACATGATATGTTCCAGATTTAAACTTTTGCAATATCTCCATTCGAGAAGACTGATCTTTGTCACCGTGAAGTGCCGCAACTTTAAAACCCCTCTGCATTAATTGGGCTTCAACTTCATCCACTGTGGCCTTTTTGGAAGCAAAAACCAGAACATCTCCTTCATCTATCATTCTAGGAAGCTTTTCAAGCAGCCATGGCAACTTTTCTGTATCTGATGGAATCACTTCAACAACTTGGGTAATGTCCTCATTGGCCATACCCACCTCTCCCACAGTTACTCTTACAGGATCAGAGAGAATCTCCCTAGCCAGCTTTTCAACTTTTCCAGGCATAGTTGCCGAAAACAATAATGTCTGGCGGTCTGGCCTTATTTGCCCTACTATTGACCTTATCTGTGGCTCAAAACCAAGGTCAAACATTCTATCTGCCTCATCAAGTACTAAATAGGTCGCCCTCGACATGGTTAGTGCCTTCAATTTAATCATGTCTATCAATCTCCCTGGAGTAGCCACCACTATCTCACATCCTGCCTTTAGTTCCTTGATCTGATCAAGTTTCGACATTCCACCATAAACTGCTGCGACACGAATACCATGAGCTCTGGAAAATTTCTTAGCTTCCAGATATATTTGATGAGCTAATTCCCTAGTAGGAGCACATATCACTCCAATGGGACCTTCTTCTTTCGCAAGTTCAGGTTGATCCATAATGTGAGAAACCATAGGAAGCACAAATGAAGCAGTCTTTCCTGAACCAGTTTTTGCTATACCAATTATGTCTCTTCCAGAAAGCACAATGGGTAAGGCTTGACATTGTATTGGTGTCGGTTTCTCGTATGCTTGTTTTGCTATGGCTTTCATCAGCTCCAAAGAAAATCCACAATCTTCAAAAGTCTTAATCGGTCGGGGAACATCAAAACCAGAAACACGGATAGATAAGCTCTTCCTATACTCGATAACATCCTGGTCACTCATACCTGCAAAACATTATTACTTACTAGTCAGATGCTTCCGTATAAATGCAAAATGAATTCTAAAGATGCACGAAAAGTTTGAAAGCAATGTGAAATATCTCGAAGAAAATGTTTCATCATTCCTTGACTCTGCTAAGAGAAAGGATATGAGATATAGTTCAAATTGTCGGTTTATCGGCTAGATAGACACTGGCAACCGAATGCCGGATGATATCTTTATTCTCTGATTTCACATGTGCAGTCGCTAACAGTCGCTAATGTCAAATGATATTATCGGCACCGTCAAATATCATTAGCAATAGTATCTAATAATCATTGATTGTTGGAGCCTAGACTTCTTTTCGGATACTCATATTGGATGAAAACTCAGTTCAGTTAATATATGTAATACATTTTCGATGCAACATCTAGAACCCTACTTTTTTTACAAATTTAATCAATTTTATTAATAGTTGATTCACTATCAGTTTTTAATCTGTACTAATAATTGTTTTTAGTTTCTTTTATCATTCTATGATGCATTTCTTTCAAATCTCCCCAATAATATCCCGATATTGCTTGATCATAGTGGAGCAATGCATGTTATTTCTTACTGACGTTGCAGCTTTCAACCATGGTAAAAGTTAACCCATTAGCCATGAGTCTTAACTGAATAAAATTAGGATAATTGTAGAAAACTCATAACTAAGACTTGCTAAAATCACGAAGTGCCCGAGACTACAATATTTTATTTTTCAACTCAGTGAGGGGCTGCTAAAATGATCTCTTATAGCTTACAGGTTGGACGATATACTAAATATGGAGATCATTAACAAAAGTTCCAGTAGCAAACATGTAAACCTGGCGCTAACATACACTTCTCATCAGAGATCAAAGCACTAAAAAGCATACAGAAATCCGCTGCATTAGCCCACTAGATTATAATCAACTGCCAGAAAAACTGTGAAGCTTCTAACAGAATTCAAACTGAAATTAACAACAAGTATGTGAAATACCTGAAATAGAAGGCTTCTCCTCGTAAAAATCTTTATTAAATGGCTCATAATCAATCGAGCTATGATCAAGCGCCGCTATCGGCTCAATCTTCTTCCTATCAACAACAATAGGATTATCATCCGAATCATACTCAATCATCCCTGCATCAACCGCCTTTGCCGCAGCATAAACCTCCTCATCAGAATTATACCCTGCGTGCAGCGCATCCGCAGCCAATTGCAGCCCCAAATCCTTCTTCGCTCTCAAAAAACTTTCCATTGGGTCATCTTCCACGTCATCCTTGTACTTATCCAGCTTCTCCTTCGGCTTTGGTGGCGGTGCCGCCTTCATCTCCTCCTGTAATCCTTCCATGAACGCGTCCAGAGGATCAATTTCGTCTTCATCCGCAGCAGCGCCATCATTTGTGTTAGGCGCGTCCTCGTTTGAAGTGTCACGTTCATCGGCATAGTCGATGTTCTCGAGGTCGGCGTCTTCATCAGCGTCGCCGCCGCGAGAGGAAGGAGGGACATATAAACGTTGAGGTGGTTGGGATCGCTCGAAGTTGTACGTTGCTTGGCGATTGATGCCAAAACCCTCGAATCCGAATTTTCGTTTCGACATCTTGCGGGAAAATTAAACCCTAGAATTGAAATTTGGGAAATTATGAGAGATTTTTTCTAATATATAAATATTAATTAATATACTTATTTGTCCCTACGGTGTAATAAAAATTCGAATAATTATTGAACTTGACCAGGGTTTATGGGCCTGGATTTTTCCGGCTACATGAACTATTAATTTATTACTCAGAGATCCTTTAAATTTATTGAATTTGATTCTTCAGCCCAACTATTGTTACAAAGTGCATGTTTGATAGTTGGCTAAATTCTATTTTTGCACCATTGAGATTTAGTTTCTTCAACTTTGCATCCTCTAGAACATTTAATAATACTTTATAACCTCAAAACATAATAAAATTATTCACAATGCACCCCGATGTTATTTTTTATATTTATTTTTTAGTATTTGTAAATGTAGTTTTTGCTTATCTTAAAATTATTTTAAATTATAACTTCAAAAATATATATGTATCTTTTTTGTTTTCCTTACTTAAACTTGCATTAATTATGTACTTTTGCTTGAATCCATTTTATAAAGATGGTTTAGATAGTTCACGGGGTTCTTTAGTTACCGCTTTCAAGTCGTATTGATTAAATAGTATGAGCTAGTAATATATTATATAGATTTTGATTGCTCTATATACAGTATTATGATAATGCTATAATTCGACAAATTTAATATGCAACCTAGTATAAGAAAACCGGTAATCTTATTAATTAAATAATTAATTAGTCAGTATGAAATCAATCCACTTGTTTAATTCATAAATCTGCAGTTCTAGCAAAATCCACCATCGTTCCGTCAAACAACGACTCTTGATTTTAAGTAACTAAACTTGTGGATTTTCAACGAGTTTAGGACAGGCCGGTCCATGACGAATTTATATTACGACCCAACCTTCAAGGTCAAAACTCGTAATAATTTAAACATATTTTTTAGAGTTATTTATATTAAACAATATTTAAAGTAGTATAATTAATTTATAAGATAATTAAACAATATTTTTATTTTTTATTTTTTATAATAGTCATATAATTCTTATATTTTAAAAATAAAATTATAATTGGGCTTCTTTGAAGCCCTTCAAATAAATTTTAAACAATATTATAATTGGGCTTCTTTGAAGCCCTTTAAATATTTTAAAACAATATTGTAATTGGGCTTCTTTGAAGCCCTTAAAATGCAATAATACGTACTGGTTCCATTTTATGTTGTTGGGCCAAAACATAACTTACTAGTATATTGGGCTTTTCTGGTCGCCTTATTATATTATATTATATTTTAATATACAAACCTAAGATCACATATTTTATATATTATTTATTAAATAAATAACTAATTGTTATAAAACGAAAATAGATAGAGAAACTGTTTATTACAAAAATCCTAATTATTTCGGGTTGTAAATGTCAAAATTGCGTTATTCAATATAACAAAAAAATAACAAAAAAATGAAGGACTGGTCGTTGCTAAAATAAGCGGGGAGCGCAGGAGCTTATCATGCGCACATAGTTGCAGCACATGCATTATATTGTTGGAAGGAAGGAGGCAAAAAAATAAAAGAGAGAGAAGCCCAAAGGCAAAAAGGGGGCAGTTGAGTCAACTCGGCAGGATCTTGCTGAGTCGTCATAACCGAGTACAAATATCCCCAAATCAAAAAAACAAACACACTAAAAATTCACACACACACACACCAGGTGTGAAAAAAATGGAGAAGAAATTGGGAGTCTTCTTTACTACTACTACTATAGTAACCCGTATCAACACCACTACCCTGTCTATCTTCTCTAACCCTAATACAAACATCCAAACAGCCCCTTACATTCCTTTATTTCTCTCTCTGCGCAATACATACTCACCGACCCATTATCTCTCGCCCTCGATTACATCTTCTATTCCCCCCTTTTTCATCTCTCCGCCTCTTCGTTTCTTCTCCGTCGGTCTTGTCGCTAGGTAAATTTTGTTTCTTTATTTTTATTTTCTTTTGGTTTCATGTTTTTTATATGTGCGCGTTAATTCGGTGGTTTTCTCTGGTGGGAATTTGGGGATTTTGGTGAATTTTTCGGGTTGGGCGATGATCTCTCAATGTGGGTTCTCTATGAAGTAACTCAATTGGCGCTCTAGTTAATTTCAGTTTTGGTGAATTTCTTTTCTTTTCGGTACGGGCCTGTAAGATTTACGTTGTTCTCATGTTTGGGTTCATGCAAATATGAGATTATCAGTATATTTCGAGGTATATTAGATTTGCCCATTATGAATTAACTTTGTATAGTGATTATTGCATGTTGAATTGCGGTTTCACATGGATTTCTTCGTGTTTTGCTGATCCTATTTAATTGTTTCCGTAATTGTACCCTTTTCGTTTGAGGTGATGGTGGTGTTGGGCTTGTTTAGAGGTAGGATGCATTGCTGATGATTCCTTATTCAACTACGAATGCTACATTAGGCATTAAATCGATGTCCCCGTTTGGATTAATTGATACTGTTCTGGTTACTAATTTTGTTAGCTACTACTGTCTTCTGTTCCATTAATACGCGATTCCCAAATGTAACTAGAAGATTAGTTGGAATTGTCTGTTTATGTGGTGTAATCTTTCAATTTGTGATCTTTTTTTTTTGCAGAGACAATGATGAACTAAGTGGCTCCACATACATCAACCTGAACGAACATTTAGTCAGCCTGTGTGTTACCGTTGTTATTAAAATCAGTAATCCTCTAACATGGATCAACAAGGGGTTCCTCGATTGGAGAGTAGTATAAAAAAGAGAAGAAGTCAAACGTCACGCAGACCTAGACCCGATGCGCAGCCTGATCGATCCCCAGTGTCATCAACACCTATTTCAGACGATATGGGTAAGGTGTCGAGTGATGAGAACATTGGTGATGGTAACTCAGGGGGGAAAATGTTCAATTTGAATCAGTGTGTATCTAGGTCCTTACCAGTTAGTGGAACAGAAAGTGGATCGAATGCGATTCTGAGTAATGGTGTGTGTGATGGAGCAGGGAGTGAGAGTAAATTGAGAAAAGTTAAGTTGAAGGTTGGTGGAGTTACTCGCACAATTCAAACCAAATCGGGTTCCAATGGGTCTTTGGTGAAGGCGAATCAATCCCCAGATAATAATGCTCAACCACGACAAAGACCGACCCCTCAGGTTTTGTGCTCTGTCTGTATCTCTTCTTCGATTATGATCCATCAGAACTTTTTTCGAGCTGATTCAATATGTTCTTGAATTGGTTTTATCTCTCCTGTTTTCGCTGCATTTTTTAATTGAGTGATAGATTATTTACCTGACAAAAAACTGTGTTTTGGCTGTAATGTGCAATTATGAGGGATCCCGCCGAGGTCAATGACTTGAAATGAATATTAATTGTTAATGTCACAAGTCATGTAATTATTGGGTATATATGTATGAATATATATACTGGTTCTGGGACTTGTTCATTTAAGGGAATTTTGTATTTGTTTGGCAGGCAAATCTGTAGCATTCAAGTCTCATGATTGTGATTTACCTAATTTAATAGGTGGCAGGCTTAATATTTTCATTGTTTGGTCCGCTCTTGTTATTTCAGGGAAGCTCCGACGAAAGTCACTCTCCACCTATAGGTAAGAAAGCTGGCTTGCAAGGGATTCCGTGGAAGGATTTCAACAAAGGTGGTTTTGGTGTTGTAAAGGAGGATATGGGGAGGACATCAGCAAAGAATTCTTCCGAGAAGCAAGGCGACAAATCAGATTCAGTTCGTAAAAGCAAACGTGTGCCCAAGAGACGAGTTTTAGATGCGGGATTTGATGAAGACGATGAAGATGATGAGATCCGTTACTTGGAGAAACTTAAAACGTCGAAGATAATGGGGTATAAGGATCTGGAGGCACAGCCGACCAGAAAACTGCAGAAGGGGGGCAGATTCGACAATATTGAAGATGTTGGAAAGAGATCCAGATCGGGGGGAAAAGATTTTGAGGAGGAAGAAGAAGTTTCTGATGATGAGAATGAAGGGAGGAAGAAGAGCAGACAAAGGAAAGATCTGTCGGAGTTACCGACGGAAAACAAGAGGGAAATGGCTCTTACGAGCCGTCAGAGAGCCCTTTTAAGCAAGGATGCCCCTTCTGCATCTGGCGCCGGCCAAATTGAGTTTCCAAATGGTTTACCACCGGCTCCGCCTCGAAGTAAGTATAAAAATTCCTTTTTCTTTGTCTTGCGATGTCTTAATTATCTCTACCTACAATGAGATCTATATTGAACTTGTCTCTGTCAACTTGTGTGACACAGAGCAAAAGGAGAAACTGACTGAAGTGGAGCAACAGCTGAAGAAGGTGGAGGCTGCTCAGAGGCGGAGAATGCAGAATGAGAAAGCAGCTCGCGAATCAGAGGTTTCTGTTGTATTTCTTCTTTGCAATTATTTAATCTATTTAGTTTTTGTAAGTTGAAGGGGAAATAAGAAGGCCAATTTTAAAACTGCAGGCAGAGGCAATCAGAAAAATACTCGGTCAAGATTCCAGCAGGAAGAAGAGAGAGGAGAAAATCAAGAAACGCCAGGAAGAGTTGGCTCAGGTAAATTCTGCACCTTCGGAACCTGATATATTTTGAATGTGTTGCATGAAAATTTACCACCACTACCCTTTTGCTTTAAACAGGGGAAGGCGACGAACGTTCAAATGCTCTCCACAAACACAATTAGGACTGTGATGGGACCCACCGGGACTACCGTCACATTCCCACAAGACTTGGGCCTGCCTAAATTTTTCGACACCAATTGCAAGTGAGCATTCTTTCAATCTCTCACAATTTTCCATAAGTATGACATGATTTAAAGATCCTAATATTTGAATGGTTTTTCGAATATCAGTTATCCTCCTCCACGTGAGAAGTGTGCGGGTCCATCTTGTAGCAATGCTTACAAGTACCGAGATTCCAAGTCGAATCTTCCTCTATGCAGTCTCCAATGCTACAAGGCCGTTAATGAAAAGACGCAAACCGAAAAGGCCTGCTAAGTTCGTGCAAGTAATGGTCTGCACATATGATGTTATTTTTACAGAGAGGCTGGGCGACACATTGTCTCCGATTATCCTTTCTGCACAATGTAGAAAGGTTAAGGAATTTAGGATAGCTTCTCCTATGAGCAGGATGACCTTTCTTTGTTATCCATTTAACTCATCTTTTATTTGTATTTTATTTCCCTATGGTGGTGGTATCTTGTATATTTATCCAAGACATTTGCAGTTTTGTGACCGTTTGTATTACCGTAGCTAAATCTGGTGTTTTTTTGGTGCTACACTCGTCAAATACACTGGTAACGTTGCACCACACAATTACGCACTTGTGGATGTGTGTAAAATGTGAAGTTATCTCTGGTGTATCTTACTCTGTGTACTTGACTTGGTGTAGCATTTGCAAAACCGGTAAATCTCATGGTCTCATTCTCATAGTTTGTTGAACTTTGGCAATTTATAGTGAAGAGAGTAATTTTACTTTGCAGGGGTTTCCATAAAATTCAACTGTTATATACTTATATTGTTGTATAGAAGATAATAATGAACGTTTCTTTTCAAATGTGCCTATTAAAATTTATATATAGAAAAGACTATTTCATTTGATTGGTTAAACTGAAGTAATTTAAAACCATCTAGTAATCAGAATTTCTGTTAGAAAAAATAAGTAGAATATATATAATATATACAAGGGTTAAAAATATATAGAATAAAAAGCGCTATAGTTTCCCCGCTCAAAGAGAGAGAATTGTAGAGAGAGAAAAAAAATCAGTCACAATTCATTCACACACGCTTTCACTCTCTCTTCCACTCAGAGAGGCCGCCGTTAATTGGATAAGCCTCCCCAACTCACCGCACCACCGCCGTCTCTCTCTATCTCTCGGAATGGCGCATTCATGTGTCTCTTCATCTGTTGCATTCAACTCATCTTCACTTTCTCTCTCTTCTCCAAACCCTAGCTCCTCCTCCAAAACCTTCTCTCTCCCCTTGCAATCCGTGCGTTCTAGGTATGGATTTTCCAGAAAATTGAATGAATCTAGTCTCAAGAGCTCTTCGGTGCACGCTGTATACGCTCCTGACTTTGGTGCACCAGGAAGGAACTCACGGAACGGTATTTGGTCGGTTAGGTAAGGTTTTCTTAATGGATGAATTGTCTTGTGTACTACTACCTAATACGATCTAGTTTCCAGATTGGACCTCTTACACCATTCAACTTGACTCACTCATCATCATATGTAACTTGCGATCAATAAATTTAAGTTACTTGCATGGAATCCGAATTGTGTTTCAGAAACGTAACCAAATTTCATTTTACGGAGCTAAATATTCATTAAATAAAAAACTGTTGAGAAAATTTACAGTTCGCTGTTTGGTTTTAGAGGCCAGTTGGTTCATATGCAAGCAGATAAGTATGTTTTTCATATGTAGTAGACGAAGATATGGCTGCGTTAGAATGGTTCGCTATTTCTATGTTGTATTGTGAAATCACACAGTATAGAGTCTAAACTCTAGCATGGAGGACACTAATATGCAAACAAAGGATGTATATGATTAAATTGTAATAGCTTTTGTTGCTTTCAGGGATGATTTGCAAACTCCGTCATCGCCATACTTTCCAGCATATGCACAAGCTTCACAGGGTCCGCCTCCAATGATGCAAGAGCGTTTTATGAGTGTCATCAGCCAACTTTTTCAATATGTGAGTCAGTGTCTGTTTGAATGAATAGATTTTTTTCTTGATCTGTTGGTCTGTGTTGATGTTAAGTCGTAACCCAAATTTGTTTTTAGAGGATAATCCGATGTGGTGGAGCTGTAGATGATGATATGGCAAATATTATTGTTGCCCAGTTGCTCTATCTTGATGCTGTGGATCCTACAAAGGTATATTTCATTTCTTTTCCTTTGAAGTTTCCATCTCAATGAAAGTTTTCCCTTGCGTATAGATTGGTATTCAGATAATACTTTGTTGATCGATATGTTGTGTAATTTGAACAGGATATAGTGATGTACGTGAACTCTCCAGGTGGATCGGTTACTGCTGGTAATACACCCTGTTCTGTGTGATCATTTCTAGCCGCTGAGTTTTCATTTATCTTATTCTAATCCTCTTAATTTGTAGGTATGGCTATATTTGACACAATGAGGCATATCAGGCCTGATGTTTCAACCGTTTGTGTTGGACTAGCAGCTAGGTAAAGATGCATTGACTTTGGTTTTGTATAATTAACTGCAATTCATGTCTATATTTCTCAACCGAATTTGAGTCGTTTCTTTCATTTCAAAGAACAACCTGGTTCTTCATCAATACATGACTTTAAAATTCTTAAAAAGCTGCTGCTGCTTTAGAGTCATATTGTGTTTTTTGGCTAGTTAGATTTTTTATAAGCTCTTATCCACCACATCATCATATAATTTTTGTTTTGTTTGTGTCTCCTACCTGCATCATCTGTTTATACAGCTAACTGGCAGACATCACACACACCTGGTTGATACCTTTTCGTTGATATTTATTTTAAGAATACTTGATGATGTATTCGTCTACTATATTCTGCAGATGTTATTACATTATTTACATCTCTCAACCTTTGATAAGTGCTCATTGTTTTTGTGATTGGGCCTTTGGCATTTGCCTATGTATATGAATATATGAGGATCTTTGTGAATTAAACTAACTGTCTCCCCCCTATTCATGTGCAGTATGGGAGCTTTTCTATTGAGTGCTGGTACCAAAGGTATATGACTCAATTCATTTAGTTAGTTTGATCTTCCAATGATGATATTTCTTCCTTTCTTCAAAATATATAATACTCTTCTCTTTGGCACTGAAGGGAAAAGATACAGCCTTCCCAATTCAAGGATAATGATCCATCAGCCTCTTGGTGGAGCACAAGGTGGCCAGACTGACATTGATATCCAGGTAATTATATCTTTTGCCTTAGTGTGTAACAATATGTTTTTGTTAGGCAGTAGATATGTAGCTTTTTCTTAGAAACTAGTGTACAGTTGCCTTGTGGTATGCAATATTTTGGGAATTTGATGAGTATTCTAAAGCTATGAATGTGTTAGTCGAACATAGCCTAGCTGGTCCTATCCATATAATGATAGTTTGTGCACATGTTGATTTCTTGACATGCTTCTAAATCAAGGATAGCCTTGCATAATCAAGAATTGGCTGACATAAACAAACTTTAGACCATTTGAACTTGAATCCAGCTCAAGTAGCTTTGTTTACTCTACTTACTGTTATGTCATAGTTATCTGATATATTGTTGACCTTGGTAAAGTAAATCTAATATACATCTATTGTGCTTTTTCTCTCAGCCTATTTTCAAGGAGTAGCTGATAATCATCATCCTAGGTTTTTGAAAACGGTTATTTAAATTTGAGGAAGATGATTTTTGCTTACTGTTTTTGTCTTGTTTTGCTCGGTTGATATGAATCATGCAATTCAAAGGACAGAAAAAGTAAGTGAAAGTGGACGATGCATGTATATTCAGATAAGTGGAAACTAAATTCAGAGACTGGAGATATGTTTGCTTTTAACTTCATTGTATGGAGAGAGAATGTCTTTACGTTGAGCTCACTGGGTCGACCGGTAACATTGAACTTACACTCTTAAGTAGGAGCCGCATATAGTAAATTGATCCTGATCTGATAAAAACACTCTTTCTACATTGTCTTACTCCTCTTACATGGGCAGTCACAATTTTGACAGTTATGTGGAAATTTCATGTAATGGATTCTTTGAAATATCAACTTAACTTGTTTTAAGAAATTCAATCACTCATTTCCAATGTTGACCATGCTCTTGCTCAGGCAAATGAAATGCTGCATCACAAAGCAAATTTAAATGGTTACTTGGCTTACCACACCGGTCAAAGCCTGGAGAAGATCAACCAAGACACCGACCGTGATTTTTTCATGAGTGCTAAAGAAGCCAAAGAGTATGGGCTTATAGACGGTGTTATCATGAATCCTCTTAAAGCCCTACAGCCACTTGCAGCTGCAGCAGAACAATTATCTTGAATATTCAGTCTTTTTCATGACTTACCTCTTTATCCTATTAAATAAGATCATTTCGGTTCTGCTGAAAACTAGGTAATTTAGAACCATTGCTGTAATATGTATGATCTGTGTTCTTATTCAGGAAACCTCAGAGTGCGTTTTAAATTTTGAGTCTGATGGACTTATTGGTATCCTGTTTCCTCTGTTATATGTAATATTGGTATTAAATTCTAGAGTTGGATATGTTTGCTTCTTTACCACCATATCTGAAATCAACTTTTTAAAAGATTGTCATGGTAGTAACAGGCTTTAATTTCAAGTGCTTTTGAAGGATGTTTATAATATTTTGGTAAAATCACACATTTGAGTGTGTAGTGTTGGTTACATATAGAGCATACATGCTTATTCGAATTTGTGGAAATTCTCACTTTCAAACTTAGGAATTCACCACAGCATGGGGGAAGAAAGGACACTATCCTGTGATTCTCGTGGTTGGAAAGACAGGTGAGAGCTAAAGTACCCACTACACAAATTTACTACTTGTTGCCTTATCTGCTTCTTTCCCTCTCTAAATCAGTGTTGGTGTTTTTGTTTATCACGTGTATCAAGTGCTAGAAAGCAGAAGCACGAGGCCCAGAGCTGGAAAATTGAGCCAACTACCACTTTGGCTACTTAAGAGTATTTTTCATATGAACAAGATACAAAACAAAGATCTATGTACAGGAACTTCCCTTGTCCATCTACCTGGATAATCAAGAGGGATTCACAATACTCCTATCCTTACAGAAACTGCTTCTCATGAAGGATTTGAAAAATGAAGACGAGGGCAGTTCCTCAAGCTCATCAAAGAAGTCATTTTCCTCCGACGAAAACTCCATCGGACCACCATGAGTAAACGGCTTCGGATCTTGATCGTAAAGCACCGAAGAAGTTTCCAGATTTTCTTGGAAATTACTGTCTTCTTGATTGGAATTGAATGGAGACTGGGAGTATTGGAAGCGATCCTCACCGTTGGTTTCTTGATCAGGAATCGTCAATTCTGCTTCTTGCTCTTGCTTGGGAGTTGTGGGCTGATCATCAGTGATTTCTTCATTGATCTCATCTGGGTCTTGTTTGTGGTTTGTGGCTAGTGTGGAATCAGGGCCCGGGTGATTGTGGGTGGATGTGTATGTGATTATCAGCATTGATGCATCTGTTTTGCATCTCTCCACTTGCTTCTTGGCTGAGCAGCCTTTGGATGTGCTGCACTTGTAGTAGCCCCTGCATGCAATCAACAACTCCATTTTAGTTGCAAGTAAGAGAGAGAAAAACTTCATAGTTGTGGAGGTTGAAGAAAGGAAGAGAGAGAAAATAAACCTGGGATAAGGTGAGCCTTTGATGGGCTTTTGGCCATATTTCCTCCAAGACCAACAATCAGAAGGAGGACCTTCATTTCTGTGCTGCCTTTTATCATTTCCTTGTATTTTCACAGCCACCACAGTCCTCTCAGCCACCTTTCTGCAGAATTTATCAACACACAGGAATCTTGAAAAAATATCCCTCTCTCAAAGATAAGTAATTAAATTCAACCCCATAATTTTTCACAAAATTTGGGTGAACTTGCCTTTTCTTAGATGCATGCATCTCCTCTGCTAGTGTTGAACAATTTGACTCTGAGCTGTGGTGATCAATTTCCTGCATGGTTGGTTTCTCTTACATATCTCTGCTGCTTCAATTCTCTTCTCAGGAATTTTTTTCAAGATAAAATCTTGATTGAAGAAACAGATATTTCTGTAGGAGAAGCAATAAAGAGGAGGGAGAAGATGGATCAAAAATCAGGGCATTCAATTGATTATTATGGGGGGAGAGAGACAGAGGAAAGAGATAAGCAGAGTGATGACAAACCCCTCCACAAGTTGCTTTCTCTCTCTTTTCTTTTCAATCAATAATAAATATATATAAAAATCGGCCCACACACACAAAACACCACATCCACTCACACAAAGAACAATGCTTTTTCACGCCACCCACCATCCCCAATGAGACTGATTCAACATTTTTACATTAGTAAAAGTTTGCATTTATTACAAGCATTATACTTAAAAAGGCTGCACCATTTGTCCATGGAAAAAGGTAAAATACCCTTAAAATGGTTATCCAATATTTTTAATTAACAGAAAATTCTCAGCAAGTCGAAGTAGATTCGATATTGGTACAAATACTTGCAAATTTTACGAGAGAATTAAACCACACTAATTTATATAATTATTGTTAGTGAATTGGTTGGATGAAAATTTGGGAGCTGATGTAGTTGTCCCAATTGCAAAAAAATAAATGTAGTAATGGAATGGAGACAAATCAAGTAGTTCCAAACAAGTAGGGACTTTGGGATAAGTATCTACATTAGGGTTAGATAGCAATTGATGTGTACTATTTTTATTTTTCTTCTAGGGTATTTATTTATTTTCAAAATTGTCCTTGTTATGTTAATAAGTTGAGAGAAAATTAGTGCATAAATAAATAATGATATGAAAAACATTAAACATTAGTTTAATGGAATAACCGGATAAGAAGCAGATGAACAAAGTGTGTAACACAAGGTAGTGGTACCTGGGCATCCACAAGGCAGGGAATCACCGCGTGCAAAACATTTGGATGTATCACTACCATTCACTAATAAATTAATACTACTCAAAGAATATTATATATACTTGAATATTCTTCCTACGCCAATTTGGACATGCAAAAGGACAAACAAATGAATCTGGCTACGATTTTGAAAGGAATTTTAAGATTTTTGTGTTAAAGTAGGTCACGAACAAGCCCATTTTTTTATGGCCCAATTATACATATATGTAATAAATTAATTTTCTAATATTTATAAACTCTTAACTAAAAAAAATATTGTCTAGAGAGTAAATTTATTTCAATAGTAATAAATTAATAAAAATAAAAAAGAAAAAGAAAAACAAACCAAGTACAACACATTAATGGCAAAAATAATAAATTGTTGGCGTATCATGCGGGTTTGAAATCCAGTGCACCCGTATAAATGCGCGCATCATAACATTGGACACGTGTCTCAATTCGTCCGAGCCCATATACATTTTATCAACACTCACGGTCTATTTTGGGCGTTAAGATGACGCCACAAGTTATCAACGATGACCTCCAAATTAATTAGGTCTTCTGCACCGCGTCGTACAGTATCGCCTCGGAGTCACCTTGCCACGCTAGCATCCGTCCCAGGGCAGACTCGTCACTCGATTCTCTCTCTCTCTCTCTCTCTCTCTCTCTCTTCTCTCTTGTTGTGTCTCAGTATCAGTCACTCTTTCTCGCTCTTACAGAAAACCATTCACAAGGCAAGATCATGGTCTCGAATTCCAAATTCAAAGTTTGTTCTCTGTCCCTGTATCACCTGAATCAATTTTCCTTTATTTGATTTTCCTTTTCTTAATTTTATTTATGCGATTTTTTTGGCTAGAATTCCATCATCGTTTCAAAATTTTGATTATGATCATCGTTTATTCGTCAATTTTATACCTGGATTGATTCGATTAGCATATAGGGCGTGTGACGATATACTATCGAAATTATAAACCCTAGTTTTTATTGGTAGTCAGTTACAATTGAGACCTGTTTGTTTAATTTTTTGGCTTTGTTCCCGAAATTGATTTTACTTGTTCGATGGTATTCCGTAGAAATCCCAAGGGGAGCAGGGGAGTGATGCCATGGCGGACTTGACTACTAAACTTACGCAGCTGAAAAGGCAGATTCACTCCGAAAGAGTTGTTTCAGTTGGAGTAATTTTCACCAACTTTTATCCTAATAATCCTATTTTTTTTCCCTTTGTTGTAAATTGTAATTGTGTATCTTCGTTTTAGATGAAAATTTTCAGTCTTGAGCTTGACATTATTTTTGTAGGAGAAACTTGAGAAAAATAGCAAGATGGTTCAAGCTTGTGTCTCTGAATTCGAAGCATTGGCTGCATCAAGGTGTGACTTAAGTGCCACAAGGAGTGATATTTCGGGCGATCTTCTTTCTTTGAGAATGAACTATCCTCTGTGCAAACTTAGCGGACATATTCAAGGATCTACAGATAGAGATGATGCTGATGGCGAAGAAGTTGTATTTCCTACTACTGCCAAACTTCCTCTTATTGAGAGGATACCTTCCTACACTACTTGGATGTTCTTAGATAGGTACCCAACCATCATAATTCCCTTTTATTTTTCACATTTTTATTGCCTTTTTTTATGTTATTATTTAATATTTACTCAAGTTTCCTTCACACAGCACAGAAATCAAAGAATGGCTGATGACCAGTCGGTCGTAGGGCGCAGACGCATTTACTATGATCAACATGGTAGTGAGGCACTGATCTGTAGTGACAGTGAAGAAGAGCTAGGTCAACCTGAGGGAGGTAAACATGAATTTTCTGAAGGAGAAGATCGTATCATAAGGTCAGTTTACAAGAAACTTAAGTATATTTGTTTCATATTTCCTCAACTGTCGTAGTTTGTCTAATTGGTTGTTTTATTACTAAGGAGAGACCTAACTCGTAATATCTCGTGCTTTCTTATGATTTTTCTGTATGTTAATTTCATTCAAAGTTCAGAAAATATATATTTATGCATATTGTGTTTTGGTAGGGTGGCTTTTCAGGAGTTTGTGTTTGGCAATGACGTTCTCGATATGTTGACCCAATTTGTTGGAGGAACCTCTCTGGAAATCCAAGTAATTTCTTCGTAATTTCGGGGTTGTTTTGTATATTCGAAAGCAGCTAGTTTGTCTTATGTTAGTTTGTTGTTTCTGTATGTGTACAAAATTGTCTCTTTCTATTATTCATGTGGACCCACTCTCGTACTATGCAGGAGCGGTGCAACATGCTAATGGAAAAAGATCAACTGATAGAGAAACAGAACTCGAAAAGTTCAAAGGAAGAGGGATCTGAAGATAGTGTATTCGCGTACAAAAGGCTCGCTGCTGCTTTAGATTCTTTTGATAATCTATTTTGTCGCCGTTGTCTGGTATGTCGGCTTTCATTCTTTTTTAGTACACTCTTCCATTACAGAGTTCATAACTGTTGCTTATATTTATTAATACCTCTTTTTCATTAACAGGTATTCGACTGCCGTTTGCATGGTTGTTCACAAAATCTAACATATCCTGTAAGCTACCAGTTTGTCTTAATTCTTTGAGGACTCTAGATTTTTCTTATTTTTTATTCAAAAAATATGTGTTTTGCAGAACGAAAAGCAAACCTACCACCCATTTGATTCCGAAGAAGACCGTGTACCCTGTGGCGATCAATGTTATCTCCAGGTATGGCCTCGTTGATGAATCTCCAATATTAGTGAAGCTGTCTCTCACCATTAGATGTACGAGACTTATTGTTGTTGTTTTTCCCCTTATGGAGCTTGATTATTTCATACTTTTAGGCCTCGTTTGGTTCAAGTGATAACATTATGCACTCTAATTAGACCCTGATTGTATAACTGGTCTATGGGAGGTCCAACACAAAATCTTCCAATAAACCAACATATGAGCTCATTTTTTCATAATTATATGCCTGCCTGAAAGTTATTGCACTAACCAAACACCTAGTAAGACTTCGTTTTGTTGCTTTATAGTTGAATGGTTTGAAAGACTTGGCTAAGAATTCAGCAGAAGATTCCGTTCACACACATAAAGCATCCGAAGAGGAAGGAAGGAATCTCTCGGCTCCATATGCCACTGAGCAAGGTGAAAAACTATATTCTTTTTGCCTTGTCCCTTTTCTAAGTATCTTGATAATCGTCTCTCAAGAATACTATTTCTCATAATAGAACATCATCGAGATAGCAAAGGAGGAGGGCGCATTATAATCGAACCAAATTTGGCTTCTGATGACTCACTGAGTTCATCTAATAAGAAGCTGAAGTTGACCAATCTAAATACTCTAGTGGACAATGTCTTTAGATTGGACGATTTAGGAACTAATAACAAAGGAAAAGATATCACTGAACCAACTCTGAATCAGCCGCATAATTCTATGGGAAAGCTAGCTGCATCTTCACATGTACGGAGTGAGTGGAAACCTTTCGAGAAAGACTTGTACTTGAAGGGGTTAGAGATATTTGGAAGAAATAGGTAAGCGAATTTTCAAATTGTTTCTTTCTTTCTTTCTTTGTACTATTTCTCATGTAGAGATAATTTTTTATATCATTCTCCGACAGTTGCTTTATAGCTAGGAATTTGCTTCCTGGTCTGAAAACATGCAAAGAAGTATCCGCTTACATGTACGCTGATGGAGAATTTATGTCTGGTGGGTCTTCGGCTATGCCGGGCTCGTTTTTTGAAGATTTTGGGAAAGCTTATATGGATCGTATGGTTTGTATTCTTTTCTTGACAAATAGTTGTATGAGATTATGAGTCGTTGATTTAATAAAATATTGTTGGATATAATATATTATATTATTATACCAGGAGATATTTATGCCAGTGAAGTCGAGAATATGTCGTAAAAGAGGAAGAGTGCGTAAGGTGAAGTCCTCTTGGAAATCTGCTGGGCATCCATCCTTATGGAGAAGAGTTGTGGATGGGAAAGACGAGCCATATAAGCAATATTCTCCATGTGCTTGCCACCCTTTGTGTGGCAAGGACTGCCCTTGTCTTCAAAAAGGGACTTGCTGCGAAAAGTACTGCGGGTATGAAATTACAATTAAATTAAATAAAATTGAAGGTATCACTTTTGGAATTTTGACGTTTTTGAAATTTAACGTATTACTTTATTTTACAGGTGCTCAAAAAGCTGCAAAAATCGGTTTAGAGGATGCCACTGTGCTAAAAGTCAATGCAAGAGCCGACAATGCCCTTGCTTTGCAGCCGGGCGCGAATGTGACCCCGATGTTTGCCGAAATTGCTGGATTAGGTACTGATTTATTGTGTCTATACACACATTAACTCACACATTTACTGTAATTTATTCTATTTTAATGTATTGAATAAAAATATTAATATCCAACTTTTTCTGCAGCTGTGGTGATGGTTCATTAGGGGAGCCTCCGAGACGAGGGGAGAGTCAGTGTGGTAACATGAAGCTCCTATTGAGGCAACAGCAAAGGGTAATAACGTGATTTTCGGATTATTCTAATTTTTACTGTATTTTTTTCATTTGATGTACTCTTTAGGAATGCACTTTTTCATTTTCCCCTTTGGTAATAGATCCTCTTGTCAAAGTCCGATGTTGCTGGCTGGGGAGCATTTGTTAAGGTATGCAAGCAAAGTTTTACCTTTACTGTCATAAAAATCATTTGGCATGCATGTGAATTTGTGATGAATGTGAATTTCAGAACTCTGTCAATAAAAATGATTACCTCGGAGAATATACTGGCGAATTGATCTCCCATCAAGAAGCTGATAAGCGAGGAAAAATCTACGACCGTGCAAATTCATCGTTCCTCTTCGACTTGAATGACAAGGCAAGTAAATTAAATATCTCTCGTTTAGATAAATATTCCTCTCTTCTACTATTTTTCCGCTTTCATTCATTTTATTTTCAACAATTACTAGGCTTAAAATAGTTAGCTTCTCTTGTTTCAGTATGTCCTCGATGCCTATCGCAAGGGAGACAAGTTGAAATTCGCTAACCACTCAGCAGCTCCGAATTGTTACGCAAAGGTATATTGTCATTCATTCGTTCTTCATTTCAGACAATAATTTTAATTTATTTATTTTGTTTTATTTCATGTAAGATGTGTTCTGTAATAATATATATAGGTAATGTTAGTGGCTGGTGATCACCGTGTGGGAATATACGCAAACGAACATATTCAGTCCGGTGAAGAGCTTTTCTACGACTATCGTTACGGGCCCGATCAAGCACCCCCATGGGCCCGCAGGCCCGACACTTCAAAGAGAGATGATTCCCCCCTACACCATCAAGGTCGAGCAAAGAAGCACCAATCTGGTTGAGCCTTCACTATATATATTATTCTTTTTCTCATGCAATTTATATAGTATAATATAATTAGACTACATAGAGTGGATGCATACATTTTCATATAGTTTGTGCAATAAAAACTGCAATATGCCTGTAAGCTGCTATAGACAATAATCACAATATGCATATGAATAAAAGTTTAGCCTGCTTGGTATATTCTATGTACAAACATATACTATTCTCGATTTCTAGTCGACAAAATTGGATTTTGTACTTGATTGCAAATAATAGTAGAGCAATTGGTTCCAGTTATCTGGAACACCAGGAAGGCACCAATGGCTGCAGTCTTGGACACCTGGATTTATGGTTTTTCTTCCGTATATTGACGGGTGAGCATCGGGTCTATAATCTGATAAACGTGTTATATTCAGAAACGTAACGGGGTTTCTCATCTTGCTTATCGTCTCCTCTATGACCAAATTCTTCTCTGGGTAATCTGTCGAGGTAAATGTTTCGTTAATGGGTCGAAAAGCTTCCTTACAATGGCCACCGGTATTCCACAGACCTCCACTGTTGACAAGCATATTAGTGTTAATAAGTGAGGATTAATTTATTTTCTTAAATAAAAAAAAGCTTGTTATTGCATTTTCATGGCAAACCTGAAATGAGAAGGTGCGGAGCTTCTAAAGAATATTCGAGTTTTGTGTGGATTGATGTTCTTATCGATCCATGATGCCCATGTTGATAAAGATCTTCTGAAAGCCTCTGTAGCATCGAGTTTTGGATGAACTTGGTCGCCTTCCTGGTAGTAATTAATCCTACAAAAGAATAATTATAAAAAGAAAAAAGAGTCAAAACAAATTTGAAGTGTAGAAATTTGGAATCAACGTTGATTTTTCATTTGTGTTGTTAGATATTTGGAAAGAGGGGGCTAACCCGGCTTTCGTTTTGTGATGATTCCACCAATGTGCAGTGTTGAACACTAGAATATCGGCCCCTCTCCATCTCGACGACCCTTTATCTATAGTATCGATACGCAACGACTGAGTTCTTTTCTTGCCTATTCTTGCCTTACTCTCGTGCACTAGAAAATGCGAAACATAATACTCAACCGTACATCTATAATCCTGCACAATCATAACAAAACATACGGCATTCGTCACAATCTAGCTAGCTACAAAATCTTGAATGATTTAAAAAAAAAACAAAATCTACCTCAAACTTGAAAGAATAAGTCCCCCTCTCCTTAGTTATCTTCCTCCCACGAGCCTCGTATACCTTCTTCGGATCTTTAACACCTCCCATCAACAAACAAAGCATGGATTCCCATTGATTTCTATTGATCGAATCACCGACAAACACTAGCCTCTTCCCTCTGATCAATTCCAGCATTTTCGTTGCATTAAACCTACAAGCAAGCAAGCATTTTCAGAACTTGTTTCGCGCTTCGATCTCTAAAAATATGGTGACGAAAAGTTACCTAGGAATTTGACAATGTTGAGGCTGCCATCTCCAATTCATGTAATCATTGTTGAATCTACCATTGCCGACACAATTAAAACCTTCATCTATAAAGGGGCAACTAAAATTATTGTATAATGGATAGCTTTCATCAATTATCCACTTCCCCTTTGACATGTCACAATCTACCTTCTTCACATTTCCAACTACTGTATTATTATTATTATTACCTCCTTTGACTATTACATTGTTCAACTCATGAAATTCTTCAGCACCACCGCCACTTGCTGCTGATGTTATTACATCAGTATCTTCAGATTCATCGCCCACACTTGATTTATCAGTACTAAAAGGAGGCGAAGTGGAATTACCAGTAATTTCTGTAAATATTTGTGAAGAAGAATTATCACCACCAAAACGGCGGCGGCCGGCCAGGATTGAATTCTTGAGCACGTATTCCGAAGTGGGGTTGAAAGTCTGTACGGTGAGATTGTGGGGTCCACCGTAGAGTGGAGGGGAGGTTTTGATAACCCAAGTGGAGAAGAAGATGAGGAATATTACAGAGAAGGAGATGGTGACTGAGATAACCAGAAAAAATCTGATGGGTTTTACGGAAAAGCTTCTCTGCTTCTCCATCTCTCTTTCTCTTCTCTTCTTCGCCGGCGACTGTCGGCGGCCGGCGGTGTTGTAACTTTGTTGGGAAATTAAGTCAAGATTTGGTGGTATTGTATTATATTAATATTATTGGAGCTGTTAGAAAAGAAAGAAAAAGAAAATGCAGTCAGCTGTTGTTTTGAGTGCGATACTGAAATTAATGTTCACACAACTGGAGAAAAAGAATGGGAACGAAGACAAAAAAAGAAGAACAGGTGTAGAAAAATATTATTTTATTTTCAACCATTTTTCTTTTCTTTTTTCTTTTTTATTGGCTGATGAAATTTGTGCTGCAGAAAATGGCATCGTGTATTAAAGCTGTAAGGCACGTGACGTGTCCCAGGTCAAAAGAAACACCTCCACTACGTGAGAATGGGATCACGGTAATCACACACACACACTTGGAAGAAGTTTGATTATTAAACAGAAATATGTGATTATAGACAAAATTTATTTAAAATATGGGATAACATACGTAGTTAACGAAGTGCAACCTAAATTTAATTCTACTATGACTTTATTGAATATATTACACAAATCGCCTGAAAAAACATATCCGATATTAATATCATCGTAATTTCACTTTATCTAAGATATTGTTAATTTTTTAGCCCATAAATGAATTGGTTTATGATTGGGCCCATTCTAAATGATTTCTTTTCGGCCCATTTATTTTTATTGGGCCCGGCCAAGACTTATTATTGGGCCAACCCATTACCTAACAAACCTACATATATTGTTGAATAATACAAGCCCAATATCTTTTTTAATTGGCAACGAATATATGCAAGACGGAAATTACTAAGTGCAAGACATTACTTCATGCAAGACCAAAATATAAATAAACTTACTAAGATCAAGACTGGAAATTACAAATATAACCCCAGTATTAATTTAGATAAAATTAATTCAAATTAGGCTAATTGCTATTGCAAGACCAAAAAAAAAAAACAAAAAAAAAAAAAGAATAAAAAAAAAGGAAAAAACAAGAGGGAACTCACTCTCCCAACAAAACCCCAACATCTTCTTATTCACACTCATTTTACACACTTTTTTCCACAAAAAAATCTTCCATATTCTCCAAAACCCTCATCACACAAAACCCTCAAATCTTACTAAAACTTGAAAAGAATGACATTATGGATACACAAGACATAAATATGGAGGATTCTAAGGTCGAAGAACACAAAGAGGTAAGAAATATTGTACTTTGTGATCGTTTTTCTCGTTTTTCGCACCTCATTTCACGTACAAAAAATTCGACGTGTACAGGTCGAATTTTTTGTATATCGACACACTAGTGTCGAAAATTTCAATATAAATCGACACTCTTTTACTGTCGATTTTTATTGAACTTATCGATACCGTGACGAAAACGATGTTCGGTGCATATTTCGACAATAGTGAGTCGATTTTCGGAGCATATTTCGACCTGTACACGTCGAATTTTTTGTACGAGAAATAAGGTGCGAAAAACGATCAACGGCGACGATTGCAACGGCGACGGGGGATATTTCTAGTGCTTGTCGACTACAACGGCGCGGGGGAGGTGGTGGACTTCAACGGCGACGGCGAAGGGCGGCGGCGAGTGATGCAATTGAATTTTTTTTGTTTTCTTCCCTTCTTCCCTCCTCCTCGTTTTTCAATTCTCGTTTTTTTGCTTTTTCTTTCTTTTTTTATTAATTTTTCTTTTTTAAATTGGTCTTGCAAAAGTAAATTAATAAAAGAATTTTTATTTTGTTTGTATTTTATTAAGGTTATTATAGTCTTTTTATACTTAATTTGATAAAAAAAAATAATTTGGTCTTGCCCTAAGTAAATTTGTGATTGCAAATAGTCGCTGCCTTTTTAATTTCCAAAAATATCAAATACTTTTTCAAAAATAAAAATGATCAGAAAAGTAATAATTTTTTTGAAGTTTTCATAAGCATAATGAAAATTTATAATTGGAATCGAGATGATTTTTCACTTCTGAAGAAAATACAAAAACAAATAAAAAAAATATTTGCTTTCAGATTCAATATAAATATGTGGAAATTACATATCTGTCTGCTGCTCACAAACACACACACACATCTTTTATGCATCATTTTAAATTAATAATAATAATAATAATAATAAATAACAAAAGGATGAGCAACCAAGCAGCAAGGCATCATTTAAATGAAGAAAAAACAGCCTCAACAAGCACATGTTTTCTCTTAGGATACCCCAAACCAAACAAGTGATTCAGATACACCTTCCCTTCCTTCACAAAAGCAGCTGTAACTAACCGATGAGTCACCCCCGAAAATTTCCCCACAATTCGTGCAGTCTCCCAATCATCCAAACTCTCGACTAATCTCGATGGATTTCCAGCAACAACTATCTTTGTAGGAGACAGAATCTCCATTCCATCACCAAACATTAAAGAACCACCGCCGATTATTTTAACGACCTTTACTTCATCTCCTGATTTACTACCTATTTCGACTTTGAATAGATTCCCGGTTAAAGTATGATCCACGAGTAAGTACCCGTTTGGATGGTACACAATTCCGTTGAGTCCGACTAAGTTGTAGTACCACTCTTTTGGAGTGAATAAAGGGCTTTTAATGGCGTGTAGGTATTCTCCGTTAGGGCCAACTTTCCAGATCTTGTTCCCCTTTGTGTCGGTTATGTATGAGTTTCCCTCTTCGTCAACTGCTACATCATCTGCAAATCCCTTTTCACCGTCTGCACATATATATAGATTATATAGTGAGAGACAAATGAAACATATACTATATATTTGTGAAGTTTATTACGTATAAATATAATATAAAATGGAGCGCAACAAGAAGCAACCTAACCAAAACTAGGTTTGAATTAGGCAGAGATTGATAAATGCTATTGACCCAAATAGGAATTAAAGACCGTGGAATTTGGTGAGGTTGGAGGGGCCTATTAGTTATGACCATTTCTTTATTGGTCTAAGCATTGAATTCGGTATAGTACTACCAATGCAAGAAATGTCAAATAATCTTGCGGTAATTATTACTACATCTTCGAATTTGTAAAATTACGTAAACTTCATTGAATCTTTGATTTTTTTTTTTACCAAAAACTCAATTTGAACTCAAATTCAATGCATTTTGTATCCTTACAAAATCAAGTTATTCGGCACTCATTTCGATATCGAACGACATCGTTTGTTAAAAACCTCGTATGAACTCGGTTCGTTAACATATCGAACCAAGATTTTCGTTTAATATCCAAATGCTATCAAGCTCACCTCGAGCTCGATTAGAACTACATAATAAAATATGAACGAAAATGCAAGCAACTCGGGCTCGACTCGTTTGCTTCTCAAACCAAGCTCAAACACAATCAATTTAAGGCTCGATGAAATTCAAACAAGTCAAGTTTGGGTCTAGTCGATTAATTTACATTTGACATTTGTACGTATATGTGAGGAGTAGACAACTTTCTACTTCTACTAAGTTTATTGTAGAACAACAAAAATTAACTGAAGCAATAATTTTCTCTCTGAGTGTGGTGTCTACTACACAATACACATGGGATCTAATAAAATATATACGTAATTAAATGGAATAACCTGGTCCACTGAGCTGGGTGAGAAACAACTGATCCCACGTGGTCAAATCATAGGCCGCTACAGCACTGTACTTGTTTCCAAGCACATCGGCGATGGCCGCCACTGCTCGGTTCCTCGGCCGGTCAATAACGAACCCTAGCGTCGAGTTCTTCCCGGAGCCGGATTTTCCGACCACCGGAATCTCCTCCAAAACCGCGCCGGTAGAATGGTGTTCATTGAGAGGAATCAGACCAAGGCCGCCCTCGAAGAAAGAGACGATGAAGCGGCTGTTGAGAGCGTCCCACTTGGTGGACTCGCGGAGCCAACCAGCGCTGTGGTAGGAGTACACGTGCGTGGCACGCTCCGAAGTTTCGGAGTGAATGATGTAAGCTATGGGTACGGCGGAGAGGAGGAGTATGAGAAGGAAAAATCTGGTGGAACAGAGGAATGAAGCCATGGCAGCTAGGTCTTCTTTTTTTCTTGTTCCAAGGCTCTTTGGTTTTATAAAATTAGAAAGTGAGCACACAAAGAGTGATCTTATTTTATTTTATTTTTGGTAAAAGAAAAACGAAAAGTTTTGTCCTTTTGTAGGTGTTTTTAGAGAGTAGGTGGAGCCGCACAAGACTGGAATTTAGAGAGAGAGAGAGAGAATAAATATTGGGGGATTCCAAAATGATGGCTGCATTTGTTTGGACTTTAATATTTTGCAAACACATTTGGATCTTTTTCCTTCTGGATTTATGTTTATATTATAAAATATATTTTAGTGACTATTTAGTAAATAATCATTGCATTAGTATTTGAGATATTGATACCTATTATGTATGATTTAGGGTCTTTTTAATGCAGCACTGCTCTAGATTCTCACATTGAAAATATGACTGTCAAAATATCTATCTCGATAATACCAACTTCATCAAATTTTAATGATTTGAAGTTGTAAGTGTTTTAATTTATAATAACAAAGTACTTATTTATTAACCTTACTTTGGTGGATCATTCCCTTGCATCTAAATTATTTCAGATGAATAATACCACCAACCTAAATAATAATTTAGACCATACATGAATGCATACACAACCTTACAGATGATTTAGCCCAATCCTGCAATAGTTTTCAGTAAAACATTCATTTCAGTCCCCCCTTATTTGCTTCCACGGGAATGATTATTTGTTGATGAATCGGAACCAAAATCCTGCAACGTTTAAATTGAATCACGCTTTTCAACCAGATCATTTATAAGGAGAAGAACCCCATTTACTTGATATGGCGGTACAAAATAACATTTGGTCAATTGAAGCGGTGCATATATATTAGCTTAACACTTTAGTTTACCTGTACATTTAGCTTAATTGATCCACTTGTGTACTGCCCCCGTTCATGATCAATCATATCTGCTGCACAGAAAGGGTTTAAATTAACTCAACGTAAAATCATTGGACAGAGTTGCAATTACAGCACATTTGACGTATAATATTGTTGTTCATCTTGCGTGAATGAATCAGATGACGTTTTTACCATAATGAAGACCTTCGCATGATTTGAACGTTATCAATTTCATCGTCTGGAATTTGATTCTCTGCGACCCCTCCAGCTACACCCACAGCTTTATTTTCTGCATCTGTTATACCTGTGTTTGCATTTTCTTCAGGTGCAATAGGATCTGATGAATTATCCACACAGTGCTTTTGGAGCCACCTATCGGTTTCCCATAGAACATGCATCACACTCTCGCGTGCTGCATAACCATGGCTCTCAAATGGAAGAATTACAAGCCGGCAAAGTGCACCGTGGCCTTTCAATGCATTGTAGAAACGATCTGACTGCATTTTGTGCAATTGAAAAGGTTTACAAAATAACTCAGAATTTGTGGACAAAGGAAAATTTCGTGAGAGGTTAGCAAATTATTTACAGCTAAAAACTCTGAATTTCTCAACAAACAAAATCACGTACGACATAAATTGGTAGCAAAGTTTGGGTGGTGAAAAAGCAAGTGAACAAGTGGCAATTCAATGAAATAAATTTCTTCTCAAATGTATCATATTGCTTTCGATACAAACACAAAAGACAGCATCTCACCTGCATTGTAAGTGTTCCTGGATTATTGTCTTCTTCTCCGTGAATAAGCAATATAGGCTTCTTAATTTTATTGGCTGATATAAATGGGCTCATTTCAACATAGGTATTAACAGCCTCCCACAATGTCCTATCCTCGCTCTACAAAAAACAATTCAATAATTGTGAGGCTGCAAGACAAAAGCACACTCTAGGGATTAAAAGTACAAATCCGGAATGCAGCGTTTTATTGCACTGCCCTAGTACTTCAATAAAATAGCATAAACTGATTGCGACCACTACATAATTACCACATTAACTAAAGAACTACCTGAAACCCAAATGGAGTAAGTGTTCTGTTATAAGCTCCAGAACGAGCAATTCCACAAGAGAAAAGATTAGGTGCATGAGCAAGAAGATTTGCAGTCATGAAGGCCCCGTAGGAATGACCACCAACAGCAATTTTGTTAGGATGAGCCACCTAGAGAACACCCAATATTCATAGAATCATATCATTTACGTGTCAAAATTGCTAGTACAAGTATTTGAAGTGGAGAGAAACGTACCCCCCGGCGAATAACTTCCTTCACTGCAGCCTCTGCACTTGCAACAAGTTGCTCTACATACCTGATCAAGAAAACAATGCATTTGAGTTCACCGTGGAATATACTTGTTTTACGGAATTTTAGGAGAAAGAAAAAAAAAGTCCATGCAAACTTAAAAGGCACTAATACCTATCATTTGCCTCTTCATTACCCTCTCCGATGATGGGAATTGTTGGCCCTGATAAGATAGCAAACCTGCAGGATTTGGAGCATCATGAATGTGTGAAACTCAAAGAATTAAAGCGATCCCAATTGAAAACAAGTGAAAAGGAGAAAAGCCTGCCTTCTTGCTAGCCAAAGTAATGGAGATGTCGAACCAATGCCAGCAAACTCATTTGGAGAACCACGTACTTGTCCAGCTGCATCTTTACTTTTGAACTCTCCCGGATAAGACCACATTAAACATGGAAGGGGTCCATCTCTTGCGGGATCATAACCAGGGGGGAGATATAGGGTTGCAGTAAGTTGGACTCCATCACTCCTCTCATACCTAATCATCTCTTTCTTTAATGAAGACAACTGAGGATAAGGATGGGGGAAATTTGTAACCTGGCATGCTTTCTTTTCTGGCCAACTAAATAAGTAATACTGTGTGTTTTCGGTTTTAGATTCTTTGGATGTCAGTACTTTTAACTGATGAAGATACATCTCCCTTTCATCTTGATCAGACATCAGAGCAACAACAGTCTCGTAATATTTTTCTTTGTCACTCTCCCATATTCGTTCTTTATTGCCTGTATTTCTGAAACTCCTCATCCCCTCATGTCAGATATTTCATATCATAAAGATTTTAATGATGGATAAACAGGAAAAGAAGCATTAAACTCACATGTCAAATAAATCCAAGAACGGGACATTCCCTTGTGGAGTAGCGCCACTTCCATTTAATAAGAGATATGTGCCTTCGTCACCTTCCTTCCTAATCTTCGCAATCACGTAAGTACCCGTAGGAGTTCTCCGCAGCATAGGAGAACCAGGATCTGAGTAAACATCTTCAGACGACCTATCGAACAGTATGCGTGGACTTACACTCTCACTTTGAGGTGAAATAATCCAGGTCCTTATTCTCCGTGTTTTATACCAAGATTCATATACTAATGCAAGCGAGTCATCACACCAAGAGATCCCTCTACAGAGAAAAAGAAATCAGAATTGGCAAGTAGTGGACAAAACAGTGGTATTATTTTTTAAAGATGATTTGACTATTTACAGACACATAGTATAAAGGACAAATGCCAATTTGTCATTGTACCCATAACGGAAATCGAGCTTATGCAAAACCACCGGTTGCTCATTTTCAAGTGGCTCAGCAGGCTCTGCATAAACTATATCACGTGGAGAGACTTCTACTTTGGCATCACCACCGTCTTGTGTCTCAACCCTTATATTTAAAAAAGAAAATTAAAAAAATGTAAATTAGATGCTGTCATTCTATGTAAATGGTTTTTAGAGGAATAGCCATCCAATTAAAAACAAACTCGTGATTTTACAAATAAGCATTATATATTTTCAAATTCATTCCCTGAGACAAATTACAAAATATAAAACACCGGGATACAACTTATATGCAGTCGTAGCAATGAGATTCTACTATAAATGAGTAACAGAACACAAAAATTATTCAACTTGCAGAAGCTATTTCTCTCATTACTTAAATACTTACTTTAGGAATATCTGAATTTATACATAGGTGAGAATATGGGGAGTTATTTTTGGGTACCACGCTTGTAGGGTATTGATTCTTTATAATTTTCAGTACTGTATGAAGTGTAATTAGGTTTTCACTTTTCTTCTTCTCTATGATTGTATATAATCTATTTTGTTAAATACATGTAAAATTTTATTTTCCAACAATTTTAGAAGGCAAACAAATAGACTACTGTTAATGATTGAACTTTCAAAACTTCAAAGAGCCATTCCTTAAAAATGCACATAAGTGCAGGAACCATTAGATTGCATACCAGACAAGTGTTGATGGCTTATCTGCTCTCCAATTGATTGAGCGTTTTCCTCTTCGAACACTATTATGTGTTATGGGGATATCCTCAGCAAGGGGCAAATCACAAATTTCCCTCAGAAAGTTTCCGTCAGCTGTCCAGATATCAACCTTTTGGGGGAATCTCCCACACGGTATATTAAAAGAATACGGCCTGTGCATTGATCTCACAATAATGTAGTTTTCATCTGGAGATGGGTCCAATGATGTATATATAGCCGGCAATCCAACGGGCTTTGCCGATCCATCCAGAGATACCAGAACAAGTTGTGAAGTCGCGTAGTAATCAAATAAATCTTCATCATATTCATCTTTAAGAAGATCTTGATATGTTCTTGATTGAATGATTTCCTTTTGTTCATTGGATTGGATCTTAGGACCAGAAGGAACCAAAGTTTTCTTTGGAGGATCTCCGCGAGATAGGGGAATGGTACAGACCAACAACGTTGAGTTATTTACCCACACAAAGCTGGGAAAAAGGAAATAATAAGAGAAAGATTTAAGAAGTGTAAAGGTCTGTCTAATTCTATTTAAAGGTATGGACCGTACTTTTCAAAAACTGCATTTAGAAAAATATCTGTTGCCTGGAAAAGGGGTCTAGCTTTTCCAGTTTCAATATCAGCTACCCATACTCTTAGCATGCTGCTGCTGCCATCCTCCTGTTCAAGGATTTAGTTGTTAGAGGTCTAGAACTTATATAGAGAGTATGAAACACGAAAGAAGTAGACAGCAAAAAAGCAATGAAATTTCGTCTTTTTTGGACATTCAAACATTTGCCCCAACCAAGGTTCTGGGTAATTTATTTGCCATTGGAGCAGGCCAAGGAGTTTATGCAAGAAGTCCTGGAGCAATTGAGTTATTCACATTAATGTATTCATAGACTATTAGAAAACACTAACTTGGCGAAATTACCTCATCGGTTCGTACACTGAACGCCAGATGGGTACCATCACTTGACCTTGTTAGAACATAAAAGATTGAGTCAATGATGGCCCAAAAATTTTTGCATCAAGATAATCATACTTAATAGTTACAGTTCTATAAGTAAGCCCATGATGTGAAGAGCAATGAAGATCAACGAGAATATTTGATATTTACAATTATGCAAGTAAGCCAATGATGTAAGCAGCAATGAAGACCAGCAAGAGATCAATTCATACACCATACAAGAAAGATTAATAAGCATTTCTATGTGTGTCCTGAATTAAATAGAAGCGGCAAGCAGATCGACATAACACATTTCTTGGAGATTCAGACAATCTAATCAAGAAATCCTAAAAATTGACAATTATTTTTCCATTTCCAAACCAAAAAAAAATATTTGTGCCTTGCTCAAACAATGAGAATCATTTGGTAGGCCATCAAGAACTTGCCAAAGCGATAAACCAATCATAAAAAAAATTAACTTACCATGTGATAAAATTGATTTTAGCACCGGTTGGTAGGTTATGTATTTCTTTTTCAGGACCCAAGGTACCGTCATTCATCAACTGGTGGACTCCAATACCAGTATAATATGACCTGAAAATAGATGTTAAGAATTAATGTTATGACATTCCTCATCCAGAGTAAAATAAACAGTTAAAGAGAACTAACAATGTATATAACCGAACAATGGTGATTGGACCCTGAAAGGTACACGAAAAGTTGTGCTACTTACATTCGACTCCGAGAGTTACATTTTCCATCAATTCGGACTCCAGCAAGCTTCTCCTCAGGTCTTGCCAAGTCTGCCAAAGGAGGCAATGATCTCCTTTTAAGGAATAGAATTTTGTCCCTGTGAGGAGAGAATGATAATGTTGGAAGAGGTGGAGCATCGACAATATCTCTGATCTCTGGTGGAGGAAGGCAATAACCATTTTCCAGTGATGCGTCTGCAAGAAATAAAATATAAGTAATTAGTATAGTGGTGGCGCTAATTGTTATTCATATGAGCAATCAGGATTCATATTCAACACCATATGGCAACATAGATTATGCATATAGAACAGATAAGTATTCTGTAGAAGAGATTGTACTGAAGCTCAGAAAGGATATGAGAATACAACTATCGGTGCCTCGTGCAGATTGCTTCGAAAAAACCTACTTATGATCAATTAAACAGAGAGAGAAGATTATCCAACTGCATTCATACCTCTAATGCATAATCTAACACAGCTATAACTAAATAAGTGCCGTAAAACCAGAAGAGCATGTTTTCCACAAGTCCAGGACATAGTAAGTACTGAAGAAACGATTTAGTTCCGGCTGTATAGAAACAAAAGAAAGAGGAATCCATGACTCACGGGAAACCTGGAATTAGAACGCCACGTGCCAGCATTACATTAAAGAATTTCTTCATGAAATTGTACCAATGTTCTGCAAGTAAATTGACACACTGATTCTCTAAACAATCAAGTCCCATGCATCTAAAAACTTCAGCATGCACCCTCAAGGTTTTATAACCAACACATGGAAAACATCCTTCGGAGAAGCGGACATTTCCATAAGAATCTAGCAATAGTATTATTTGTTGTGACTGGATTTTCTTTCTAAGTAGATAACTTCATCAAAGAAATCTCATCAAGCCAAATGCAGAGCGTTAATATCAAAATTAGCAAGTAAGAGTAGGCCTCAACACCAAAAATCTTACATAATAGATAAGATATGAGGCGACGAGAAAACACCAAATAAACAATTAACATATCAAAACAAGATCAGCAACTTCTAAACAAAGCTAAGCAGCGACGTTTAAACAAACAACAATTCCCCTGAAGAAAAATAAAAAACCAAAGTTCTTCTTATAGTCCCTATCAGCCTAATTCAAGTAAAATTCAACTAAAACGGCAGTAGTACTCAAAATTCAGGCAACCTAATTTACTTTAAATGCATTCAAAGACAGGCGCGAGTGCTATTCATTAATCATTAACTACCTTCACGATCAGCGGTGCCAGCGGAAGAATGAGTAGCGCCGTTAGATCCTCCGTCAGTCTCGGCCGCACCGACGGCGACGATGTTTCGAGACCTCATTGGTTTGGTTGGGAAGGCAGCTGGCGAAGTCGTCGAACAAGGTTTGATGAATTGAAAGGGATGACGGAGAGGAGGTTTTAGAGAGAGAAAGTGAGGGGAGGAGGAGAGGAGGAAGGGCTGTTTGGGTAAATGAAAGAGAGAGGCACATTGGTAGACTTTGTGGAGGCGCATTTTAGCGTGGATGAAGGAGTATGAAGTAAAGTAAAGTAATAATGGCGTAAAATAAAGCACAGGTGTAAGTAATCCTTTTGTGCTTTTGGAATCTCTCTTTTTTAGCGGCAGGCTGTGATTGGGTACGCGCGGCCGCAGGGTGGAACGTCACTGGGAGTTTTTGGACATGGCTGAATTTGAGGATTTCCGAGATATTTTTATTCTCTTTTTCTGATTTTTTATTTATTCATATATAATAAATAAAAATATTCTTCTCAAAAAGAAAATATATTTTCAAAAATATTAATTCCACCCAAAAAAGATTTGATAAAATGTGTGAATAACAAAGTATAATTCACCAACAAATACTAAATAACGTATCACACCATAAACGAATAGAATATGTAAAAAGAAACAAAAGGTAAAGATATATTATTCTTAGATATGTCGAACAAATAAAGTATATACAGATGCATAATTCTAATTAATTTATATTACATTGGAATTTAAAAAAAAAATTAATTAACAAGTCTTTTTTCAAATATACTATAGTCAATAGAATTGGGCCCACCAAAAAGAAATACAGCCTACAATCATTTTCCTGGGCTTAGTTCTTAACGAAGTCCAATAACTTTCAAGCCCATCTAGAACCACGAGATTAAATCAAATAACCCAAATAAAAAAAAAAAAAAAAAGGAGAGATTTTTGTGTATATAATAATATCTAGCAATAGGAGTGACGTGGAAGAGTAGAATTAGCACAAAATAAGATGATAAGAAATATGTGACCGCAATTCATTTCATCACCCAACTATATAATATATATATCTTCAGCCGAACCACTGAAACGAAGAATCATTAATTACACCACACACACACAATATCCGAAAAATCGACAATGGCGGCAGCTGGAGTGAGCATCACAACCCCCAAAATCTTCGCCAAGGCGTCGTCGGACTCCTCGAGATCTCACCCGATCAACTTCTCGCAGCTAAACAGCCCGTGGAAGGGGTGCGGCGCCGCCCAATTTAAGCAGAGCAGGATGTTCGTCGTCCGCCCCGTGGCGGCGGCGCCGGATCAGCTGTCTCAGAAGGTGGAGCAGAGCATCAAGGACGCGCAGGAAGCGTGCTCCGGCGACCCCGTGAGCGGGGAGTGCGCGGCGGCGTGGGACGAGGTGGAGGAGCTGAGCGCGGCGGTGAGCCACGCCAAGGACAAGAGCAAGGATACCGATCCCCTGGAGACTTACTGCAAGGATAACCCCGAAACCGACGAGTGCCGCACCTATGATAACTAATTCATATTTATTGGCTTATTGCTGCTGTGTATCATTTTATATTTTGTTGAACGCTTTTAGTTTACAGTCCTTGTATTATTATTAAGAAAAATCAGGATTTGGGGATCACTGATTGATTGTTATATACAAATACTATACAAGTTCTATTCACTATTTGTCAAAAACTTCAAATTTACCTGCTTTATGATGACATTAGAACAATACAATACACAAAATTGCATTCAATCAAATTCCATAAGCACATATATAATAGATACATTACTCATCGAAAACATCCATTACAAAAACACAACGTCTTACAAAGCTCAAATACAACTATAAAAATCGATGCAAAATCCGTTTATTGTGTACGCATCCTGCGGCGACGGAGTAAATCACATACTACAAAAATATATTCAACATTCGACAACCATAGCTACACGAGATCCAAATTCAAACATTATTCAACCCAAAGACAACCACATATAATAATATCCTAAACAAACATCATCTTAAATATCATAACTAACACTAATCAACACAAACCAACAAAGAAGAATAGGCATATTACATCCCTTCAAGATCCAAATTCCAACAATTTTTCAGTATTGGAACATATCTGCAGAAGCAGCTATGGGTTGGATAGGGCAAGGCAGCTGCCACGGCTCGAGCAGAGTATCCGGAATATCCGGAATATCAAACGCAAGGCCGCTCACTTCGGACGCGATTTGGAGCACAGAATTCAGAGATCGAAGGCGGTCGGTCAGCTCAGTCACTTGAGCCCTCAGCACGTTATTGTCGGATGCGAAATTGATGTACAGCTGCGATGCACTGTCAATCATTTGCCTCAGCTTCTTGTTCTCCTCCTGTATCTGAGTCTCCTGCGCAATCATCTCATCCAAGTGCTGCTGCTTCCTCATACGAGACCTGCGCGCGGATTCGCGGTTGGATAATTTGCGCTTTCTCTTTCTCTCGTCCATGTCGGAACCTGGGCTTGTCGGCTGTTGTTTCGAAGACATTTTCCTCGAAAATGAATGAAGAATTTGATTGGGGTGGGTGTCGAACTTGTTTGTGATCCGGAAAAATTCAGGGGATTTTCTTTTGGTGGGTGAAATTCGATTTTGTGAAGGCACGAAATTAGGGTTTGATGGGAATTAGAGGGCTAGTTCATGAAAACACATAGAACCAGTATAGGAATACTACCGAGAAGGAGTGTAGTATTCTAATCCGACGCATCAATATAGCCGTCATAAAATTTCACGGTGAAACATAGAAACGATTGTTCGAAATCCAATTCCCCCAAATTCTATATGAAATTATAAATAAAAAAAGGTTACAAAACCCTAGATCTGGATTCAGGCGTGAATTTGGTCTCGTTCAAAACAATCTGCAGATAAAAGATAACAACAACACCCAATCACACAATTGATCGACGAATTTAAAAACAACAAATAAAAATCTAATTAACAGAAACAAAAATGCTAAACAGCATAACGCAAGAACAAAACAAAACAAACAAAAAAAAAGGAATAAAAAAAGAATAAAAGACGAATCAAACAAAAGGCAAATGAAAACGAAAGGGAAAATGAGTGGCTAACCTTTACGGAGCGTTCACAAAATTGGCGAAAGAAGGTTGTAGAGGAGAAATGAGGGGGGTATTTATAGGAAGAGGGGAGGGGTTTGTGGGCTTGTAAAACTGATTATTTTAATTGATTGAAATTAATTTAAAGGGATATTTTAATGAGTAAGTGCCGCGGATGTAATTGGTGGGCGGTGTGTTAGGGAAACAGCTCAGCATTCGAAGCCCATTGGTGCGGGGGGTCTAGGAATCTTCGCTTCTAATATTCCGATTTAGTCCACATTAAATTTCTTACTACTTACCTAATCTTTTGTATTACCCAATAAAAATTATATTTTTAATTTTTTTTTACAATCGGATATTCTTTTATGCTTTTTAAAGAATATTATGGTCGATTATACCCTTTTGGGCAACCTCAATGGGCCGAATTGATTATTGTTGGGCTATCATGTGAGGCCGAAACTATCACTTATTCACTAATAAATAAATAAGTTAAATGGGCCGGTTTTATTAGTTTTATAATATAGGCCCATTAAAGTCCTTAATCCAATTAGAATTATACTTATGAACCGTTCGGTTATCTATATCGAATTAGTTTAGATTATCCGAGATTGGATTAATTCTCTAATGATTAATTAATTATTTAGTGAGTAAGACGCTCGATTCGTTGGATTCGATCTTGTATTAAATTTGTTAAATTTTAGTATTACATGTGATTTGTTTATAAAATATTTTATTTAATAAAGAATTAACATGTAGTTTAAGGATAAAATAGTTTTTCGCCTACACGTATCAATTGAATTGACTGTCGAAGGTGTTCGGTTGGAGCAATCCCCATCTTAGTTTACATGTGCTCTTCTCGATAGCTCTTCGAAAGGATTAGTAGAGCTTCAAATGATTTCAGCTTTTCGATAGCTTTTGATACGGTCACACATTCATTACCATCTACTCGCATCCAGTAAGTCGACGATTTACATTCATTTTTTAATGATTTTTGTGTGTTGAAATATTTTAATTGAATTGAATGACTTTAAAACATTTAAATTTGGATAAATAATTTTTTAAATACCTATTTCTTTGCTGTCATTAGATAATGTAATTTTAAAATAGAAAGAATTAATTTTATAATGGTTAAATAACTATTTTTAATCTAAGTTGATTACATGCATTACACTGTTTTAATTACTTCGAATGACATAAAAACATTTAACTTTCTATAAATAATTATCAAAATATTATGTTCTTACCATCAATGGATACTATAACTAAAAAATGGATGAATGTAAGTTTAAATATCAACTTCGTTGTTAATAGCCATTTAAATATGAATTTGAATTTAGCATTGGTCATTTTTTTCAATGAAGGAATGTACAGTCGACCATATTACTATTAGTTATATCAAATATAACTTAAGATACAAATTTAATATTACTTGATATAAAAATGAGAGTAATAACTAAAGTTTATTAAATAATTTAATTAATAAATCAATTTGAGCATAAATATACTTTGTATTATACACCATAAAGAAATTATTAACACGACAAATATTTAATTACTTTATATTTCTATATTAAATACGGAATATTTGTTTTTTACTTTTTAATTTTTTTTCAGACCAAGAAAAGAAATTCAGGCCGCGGTCTAAAATGTCATAATCCGAGCCCCACTCGGACCGGTCATACCCTTAGCCAGCCTCGCACAGAAGCAAGGCTGCTCCTTCTGGGCCCCGCCAAACCACGCGCCACCATCCCGCTGCCCCCCTTGCCCCCTCCAGCCACCGGATCCACTCCCTACGCCTCCATTCGTCAGAGTTTTGTCTCAAATACCTAGGGTTTTCTGAAGATCGAGTCACCGAGCCTTCTCAATTTGCCAGCCATGGTTTGTTCCTTAGTCTAGTGACTGCTGATTGACGATAGTTGAATCAATTATCTGCGTTCATCTTCAGTGTGAGAGCTGCCGTGGATGCTGTACTCCAACCATTGGCGGTTTTGCCACGGGGTCTTCTTCTTAAGATAGTACAATAGCTGTGATCCGTGTAATTAATCTGTGACAAGGGTTAGTGATAAGTTACAAGGTGCAATCATGTCCCCTTGTTTCTTTCGTTTTCATTGTTGTTTTTATTGCGCGTATTTTATTCTCATTTGATTATTGTTTTCCGTTAGCTCCATCTTTCACTTCCTGTTTCGTCCTAGATTATTGTTGTTCTATCATTTATTTATTTAGCGATAATTCTGCTGCTGATTATTGAGCTAGATATTTCTAACATGATGCATTAATTGCCAAATGAGTGTTTGAGCTTAAACTTGGCTCGTCTGAATCGAGCTCGAGAGATTCAACTCGATTTTGAATGAATCAGGCTCGAGCTAGAGTTCCAATAATTATAGATTTTGATTCCAGTTTTCCAGCTCGTGTGTTTAACAAGCATCCTATCTCTACCCGAACCAAGAATTTCTGAAAGAATCTTTGTTATTATGCTTTAGGTTGTATGCAAACCATGGAGCTTGGGAAACATACAAGTTTTAGCAACGCACCTTCTTTGAAAGTGGGTAAAGTGACTTTTCCATGTAAGTTAAGTGCAGAAGCCCAGATGGAACCTGGAGATGTTGCTGCTTCCATGGATGTAGATGTTGATCACCGAGAAATTTATTTTTTGATCATGCATTTTCTATCTGCTGGGCCATGCCAAAAAACGCTTGGTAAACTCTGGGAGGAACTTTTAGAACATAAGCTCTTTCCTAGAAGATATCATGCCTGGTATTCAAGGAGCGGTGCAGTCTGTGGGGACGAAAATTGCGACGGAAACTCATTTCCTCTAAATTATAACAATTTGGCTGGAAGGTTAGTGGCAATGTACACTCTAAATTTTGCCACATTCTATTTCCATCTGACAGAAATTCAAGGAAAATGGCTAGAGTTCTAGCTATTCCTGAATTTCAAAATAAAATTATTTGATTTGTACTTACTCTCTTAAGAAATGTGTCTGCATATCTATGTTTGGTCAGCCTGAAGTTGAATACCCGATACTCATAATGCTATAATATTTATGTCATATGAGGTTGTTATGGTATATTAATTATCTCAAATAAAATAGGAAGGGTCCACCAAACCACAAAATTCTGACTCAGTTCTTCCGCGCTATGAGTATTTGGCTTCTTCAAGTAAATATATATATATATATATATATATATATATATATATATATATATATATATATATATATATATATATATATATATATATATGTGTGTGTGTGTGTGTGTGTGTGTGTGTGTGCGTGTGTGTTTAATTTTTGGAACCATACTTTTATAAGGTGAAGAAATTTTCCTTCGCAAGTGAGTGGATTCATTTAATCGAGAGCTACTACATTTGAATTCTTTACCAGGTACTCTCACATTGGAAAGGATCACTTGGTCAGGTTGCTCAAACAGCTGATGCTGATGACACATCCTCCATTACAGTGTCCACCTGGAAGATTTTCCCCAAGTCCCGCTGATGTTCCTACATTACTTGGAACTGGGTCCATTTCTTTGTTGCCATGTATGTGACTTTTCATGCTCTGAACTTGCTTTCTTCTGTTTAAATTTCATCCAGAGCAGCTTTTCGCGAAGCATTGTTTGTTAAAAAATAAAATCGTGAAAATCCTAAAAATATGCTGTTTTACCGATTTTATTACCGATTCCAAACAGTTGTAGTTGGCTTGCGATTTCATTACAATTTCACAATTTATGGGGGAGTAAAGTCGTAAGATCTTACAATATTAATCCTGATTTTAAATACCTTGATTGTTCGCCTTTCATTTTCCGGTCAATGATGGATTGTGTGTTAATAATTGGTTGAAAGTTTTACAAAAATGCTTTCTGGCTGTCCGGTGGTTTATATCATGTACCTTGTTGATTGATATATTCTGTAACCATTAAGTCTTGTTTGGACGTTTGGTTAGTGATCTTGAGTGATCGGACGAAGATGATTCAAAATTTAAGCAATGTTTGTTTAGAATTGGGAAAAGACAGATTGTATTGTAAATGTCCACTTGTGCCTAAGTTGTGGTGTCCTGAAGTCCTTTTAGTATTATGTATTGTATTTATTAATGTAAAACAAAATTATGTTTGTAGTCTATTAAGTTCGTAGCTTTTCGGAATTCTATTTAAACAGTTCCAAGGAAGAGTATGTGACTCAGTTGGTTCGCCCCATGGTGAGCTGGTTGAGTTTCAACTTCTAAGATCAGTCATGCACTTTAGAAGTTTATCTGTAATAACGCATCATTTAAGCACATGCAACTGAACTATCCCCCACCCCCACCCCCACCCCCACCCACAAGTGTACACACTAAGCATATGTTATGTCCTATTTATGATCAGTTTTACATTTAATGCAGGTGAGAGAAATAAAATAAATAAGAAGATAAAAGATTTACCATCTTACCTTCGCTGGCCTCATATGCAAGCTGATCAGGTTCGAGGCCTTAGATTGAGAGAAATAGGAGGTGGATTTACAAAACACCATCGCGCTCCATCTATACGTGTCGCATGTTATGCCATTGCTAAACCATCAACTATGGTGCCAAAGATGCTAAATGTGATAAAGTTGAGAGGACATAGGAATGCTGTATACTGCGGTATGTTTAACTTTTTAACTTTTCACGAGCTCATGGCATTTATAAAATCCAATCATCACATGGCAAATAATCATGTATCATGCTATGTTCAGTACTTGTGTTTGTACTCTGAAGCAATTACGTGGCACCTGATAACCTACTATAGATGACAGTTATGTCCTTTAGGTGGCTCTCTCTGTCTCGACGTGATTTTGTTTGCATAATATCAGTTCAATTCTTTTCACGTTATGGAATGCGAATGGGTTGGTTTCCTACATAACCACTTCATATTTTGTAGCAATATTTGATCGCTCTGGTCGCTATGTGATTACTGGATCGGATGATCGATTGGTAAAGATTTGGTCTATGGAAACTGCATTATGCCTAGCTAGCTGTCGTGGACATGAAGTAAGTTCAAACCATTTGGACATAATATTTGGTATATATTTGAAAGATTACGTCGTGTTTTCTCAGTTCAACTTTACGCTTTCTTAACTTATGTGTCATTGTAATTATTACCAGGGTGACATTACAGATTTGTCCGTCAGTTCAAATAATGCTTTAGTGGCATCAGCGTCAAATGACTTTACCATTCGTGTTGTAAGATTTAATCCCTCAGCTATCAACCAGCTTGACATTTAGTCTCTCTAGCTCTTAAAAAAATGAATTTCGTCTTCTGCAGTGGCGACTGCCGGACGGGTACCCCATTTCAGTTCTTCGTGGACATACTGGAGCTGTTACTGCCATTGCCTTTACTCCCAGGCCAAACACTCTCTACCACCTCTTATCGTGAGCCTCTATCAGACTTGACCATGATTTATTGAATATCGTTCCAGTCAAGTTTTTAATCATAACTGTGAACATCATTATCCTTTGTTGTAGAATTATTTTACATGTCTAACTCGGAACTACTGAATACAAGGAACCGCTAAGGCATTGCCCAAGTGGTATTAGGTTGGGAGGGTAATATTAGGTCAAAGGTTCAATCCCATTTGGGTTCGGTTGTAGGCCATTTAAAAGGCTAATATTATTATAATAAAAGAAACTACCGAGTACAAGGAGAAAGGTCACCATAAGTATCACAGATGCACTCTCTCTTGCCTTGATCATGTGATTAGCATAGACAACATTAAACAATATATTTACCTTGTGATTTTCTTTCCTTTAGTTTCCTTAATTTCCTTAATTTCCTAAGTTTTTTGATCTTATGGTCGTGTAGCTCAAATTTAGATGTTCTGTATTTACCCTTTTTAATCACTTATCCTGCATTTTCCCGCTTACAACTTTTTGTAATATAACTGCATCCCCTTTTAGTTTACTTGATATTAGTACATCTTTTCAGGAAAGATTAGGATATCTTATTTGGGCTATTATAATGTTCCTCAGAAATTATTTTCAGCTTCATGCAAGATCTCATAACATACATGACGGTGCCTCATGGAATTTTTGTAGGACTATGATACATCATATACATCATAAAGAGAAATGCAAGAAGTGCCTTTGCAGTTGTTTTTATTATGCTTTACGTATGATTACCTTCTGATTGATGACTGAGAAATTGGCTACTTATTGTATGTGGACTATGAATACCCTGGAACAAACTACGGATGCTTGAAAGATGGACATTAAATAGTTACATTAAGTGACGCTAGTATACGGTTGTGGTCTGCCAGGAAGTTATAACAGACTATGAGAGTAATAATGCAGCAGGTGAACTGTCTCAACAGTTGGAATTCTGCAAATACAAATAATGCTAATGTGATGTGAAATATTTTAACATCATATCTACTAAACAAAATATCTATTTTCAACACTACTTATCTATTGTGAAAAAAATGTTTCTGTGCCATGAAGCTTCTAAAAAGGTGGACACTATGTACTGATCCACTACTTTTAACATCAATAGATCATCTGATGATGGAACATGCCGGGTATGGGATGCTAGATCCTCCCAGTGTCGTCCTCGTGTTTATTGCCCAAAGCCAAAAGATGCTACCACTGGTTAGCAGATCCCTCATTTACTGTGTAGTTTATGATGACCACAAACATATCTGGACTCACAAACATCAATCTTAGTGCAGGAACAATCAGTGGATTGCCTTCAGCTAGTGCATCATTGGGCGCTGCTTTACAGTGCCCTCAAATATTGTGTTGTGCATACAATGCTAATGGGACTATCTTTGTTACTGGGAGTTCTGATAGTTATGCAAGGGTATGAATAAATGTATTCCTATTCTGCCTGGTCTGTGGATGTGAAAGATGATTGCCTGTCACAATTTTCTTCTTACAAAAATATTTCATTTGCTAATCAGTACAACTATTTATGCTTGTTGATTATTAATACTTGTATGATTTTATTATGTTTTGGCATAACAAAGAAATTAGTATAAGCTCCATGGATGAATTCTTAAAATTTTCTGTGAGCAGGTTTGGAGAGCTTTTAAACCCAGTACAGATGATCACGACAAAGTAAGTCATGAAATTGACAAACTAGCTGGCCATGAGGATGATGTCAACTATGTGCAGTTCAGGTCAGTAAACAATCACTTTAGAACCCCATAAAAACATTCCATTTCTCATGCTGCTTTTTATGCAGTGGCTGTGCTGTGGCTTCACGATCTTCTTCATCTGATTCAGTTATGGAGGATAATATCGTGAAGTTTAAAAATTCCTGGTTTGTTATTGCTTAAACACTTACTGCATTTACTACAGCGCTTGCATCCACTTCACTTCTCCCTAGTTTTAGTCACTAGCTTACCTAATTTGATATCGTGACCTGCCAATGATTTGTGGCTTTTCAACATTAAAAATCACAGGTTTAATCATGATAACATCGTTACCTGCTCACGTGATGGCAGTGCAATTATTTGGGTGCCTAGATCTCGGAGATCTCATGTTAGTTCTTCTAACAGTAAATTTTCATTTAATCTTAAATAAAATGAAGGTCAACGTGGATGTTTTTAGCAATTGTTATTGTTTTACTTTTGGTCTCACATTTAACATGGTTGTGACACCGTATATCACTCATGACGTTGTCTTTTGAAAATCCACCCTTTTAGGGAAAAGTTGGACGTTGGGTTCAGGCATATCATCTTAAAGTTCCTCCTCCACCTCTACCACCCCAACCTCCCCGAGGTGGTCCCCGCCAGAGATTTCTTCCAACTCCTCGTGGTGTTAATATGATAGTATGGAGCCTGGATAATCGTTTTGTGCTTGCTGCTATTATGGGTATTCTACTTCATATGAAAAATCTATTCTCTTCATTAATTAACCGGCCTATAGTTGTCTCTTTATCCTTAGACGACATAATGCAAATTTTGTGCTGGATACCGTCAAGTTTATGTTTTCTGTTACAGTGTTGGGTTAAGAGTAATATTAGATTAAAATCTTCATCATAGTTGATGTGTAATCCTACTGTAGTCGTACTCATCATTATATACCTGAAATAAGTTAGCTTCTATTCATAGAAATTACTGTCACTGGGAGCAAATGAGTAGTTATTCCCTCTTTATATGGCGCAACCACATTCCTCTCCCGTCAACCATACAATTTCTTAACATTCCCCTGGAATTGGAAATTTCATTATTTCAAAAGCCATAAAATACTCCACTAGCCTGACAACTTCCCACCCCATTAATGCATAACAAGATAAACTATTATTTTCAAAGAAGATCAATAGTTTGAGAATATGCCTTTTAATATCATTTTGAATCTCGTTTCTCCCTCTAATTTTCATTTATAAAGATTCCCTGTTTATTTATGCAAACAAAGAGTTATTATATCGTTTATTGGATAGGACGTATGTGTTTAATGGTTGAGATATTTATGCAGACAACAGAATATGTGTTTGGAATGCTAATGATGGTAGCTTGGTGCACTCGTTGGAGGGTCATACAGCTTCTGTACGTACAATTGGACTTCTACGCCTCTATCAAATGAGACTTTGTGTTTCTTGTCATCAGCTTGTTGCTTTATATATTCATATTTTATTTCCTAACGATCTTCTCATCTTAGCACCTCCACCCTAACCCCCAAATAAATAAATAAACATAGGGTCAGAAAAGGTAAAAACATGAACTACATTATACAAGTACCGGAATAACCCAATTTGTAAAATAAAATATAATGAGAACATAGAGTTTGAACCCTCTTTATTGTTTCCAATATTCTGAATGTCAAGCCTTCATGGAAGCCTGAGAAACGATATGGCATATTTATAGGCAGTGATTATTCTAGGAGTATTCTCATAAAAAAAAAAATTGAGGTTTCAGATTATCTTGATTCATTTCCAGAGCTTTTCAGAGGTATAGTGAACCGCTGTCATTCAACTTTTGTGCTGTAAGCTCATAGTTTTGCTTTTCTGATCTGTCAGACTTACGTTCTGGACGTGCATCCATTCAACCCAAGAATTGCTATGAGTGCTGGGTATGATGGGAAAACAATATTGTGGGATGTAAGTTAATAATTTTCTCTTTTCAACAATTTTTGAATGCTAGTTCCTATATTCTTAACTTTTCATTGTGTTTTATCCCTAGATATGGGAGGGTACTGCAATAAAAACGCATCACATAGATGAGCGCTTTAAGTTGGTTGATGGGAAGTTTTCACAGTAAGTCACATTGTGTAACATTTTCTCTACATATCAGTTCAGTAAGTAAGATTTTTCATGTGTGCTAGCAGATTTTTCATGTGAGCTCCACTGACTCACTTGACTGGTTCAATTATTGTTTGAACTTTGAGAACATCTATGTTTATTCGTCTGTTTAGTTTAATTGCCCTTGATCTTTTATGCTTTTTTATCTTGTGAACTTATTACTTCTTCCTTGTAAATAAAAATGATATTTCCTGGTGATTTAGGGATGGCACGTCAATCGTGCTTTCAGATGATGTAGGACAAATATATTTGCTAATCACTGGAGAAGGAGAGTCCCAGAAAGATGCTAAATATGATCAGGTGTGCAGATGAGGCAGGGTTTTGGTCGTTTATTGGGTCTTTTGGACCCGTTAAGATGAATCTGACAATGTAATTGTTTGTCCAACAGTTTTTCCTTGGGGATTACCGCCCCCTTACCCAGGACACTCATGGCAATGTTGTTGATCAGGTGAATTCAGGTCCTCTATTCTATATATTGTCATCATTATTTTGGAAGTAAAAAGATCCTCTAGCTTTTGCCATTGAATAATGCTGTTTGATGTCCACTAGTAATTTTGTCCTTAACTTTCATGTTACATTTGCTTTCTCTCCAATTAGCTATGACGATGGGCGACAATACTCTGACCCCATTCATGAGTGACATTTGTCGTATACATGGAAGTGGATGTTGTTTTCTTGGATTGCTATTTGAATTAGAAGTATCTTTTCCATAGTTTGTTTGCTACTGTAACCTTGCTCATCTAAAGGAATCAGCTTAACTGTTGCATCAGTCAAGAGATGTTGTAGCTTCTCTTACAGCCTTACACCCTTACTTTTTTTCTTTCACTAAGATAGCTATTAACACAATTTCACATGTTGGTTGTGGATAATATGCATTCACTCTCCCAACCCTATAACAAGAGAAATCGGAAGAGGAGTTTGGTTGATAACATGCATGGCGAGGTATTTGCCATGTTTATATATTTCACTCATTGTGATCGACAAGTTTGAGACATTTGGAGGATGATCTATCTATAGTTCAGTCAAAATGGTTTACTTGTGAGTCCAATGTTTTCTTTTTCCCGTTGCTTATTTAATATCTCAGTTTGTTGCACCTGATGTAGGAAACACAGCTTGCGCCATACGTGAGGAATATTCAAGATCCATTATGTGATTCGAGTATGTAATGATTTGTTTTTTCTCACATGATGGTGATTGTGTGTGTGCAATTTGCCAATTCTCTTAATCTGCTATTGTTATCTATCAAAGATGAAACTTCTGACGGTTTGTTTGGTTATCCTGCCCAATCATGGGGAAATACAGACTTGCTTCCATACCCAGAACCCTACCAGAGTATGTATCAGCAGCGTCGGCTTGGTGCTCTGGGAATTGAGTGGCGTCCTTCTTCCATAAAGTTCGCTATTGGCACAGATATTGGGATGGGCCAAGAGTTCCAGATATTACCTTTGCCAGACTTGGATGTAGTACTCGAGCCACTGCCGGATTATGTAGATGCTATGTACTGGGAACCTGAAAATGATGTCATCAATGATGACAATGATTCAGAGTACAATGTCACAGAAGAAAATTTTAGTGATGATCAAACTTGCCTTAGTGCCAACATATCCAGTGACTCAGAATGTAGTGAAGAAGAGAAGGGGAGACGAATAATAAAAGATAGTATGCGCCGGTCAAATGGAAAAAAATCTATGATAGAGGTAAGCTCAATTTGCAGAAATATCAAATTTTAGGTGATTTGCATTGTCTAAACTACATCTTTTTTTTTCTTTTTTTTTTTTCAGGCTGAATTGATGACTTCTTCTGGTAGACGAATCAAAAAGAGGACATGGGATGCTCGAGAGGGAGCTTCGTCCAGGAGCAAAAGATATAAAAAATCGAAGATTGGTCTGAGGACCTCTAGAAAGAAGTCTATTGAGTCAAAGTCATCGAGACCTCAAAGAGTTGCCGCACACAGTGCAAACCATAATTTCTCCCAGATAACCGAAATTTCTTCAGATGAAGAGGAAGAGGACTCAGCGGGTGACACCTCAGATAGTGAATCATCCTTGGAAGGCTCATTCATTGAGAAAAAGGAACACGATGATAACGTGCTTAATGAGGAACCGAAATATTCAGCTGTTGCAGTGGTATCTTCAAATTTGTCTGAAAGCAAACCTCTCAACCACCCTGATTCCCAGAGCAATATTGGAAACAAGAAGAAATTGGTGCTGAGATTTTCTCTTCACAAACATAAGACACCTACATTTTCCGAGAACCATGTGGACCAATCGAAGAGCCACGCTAGTATTGAATCATCTACTTTCAGAGCTAATGAAATAAACCATGAAGAAGACAAAGCCAATTCCAGATCAGGTGATCTAGGTTCAGCTTCTGCGACTATAGTTGATAAGGAACTATCTGAAAATTATGGAAAGCAGCTTGCAGATGTTGAAAAACCAACAGATGCTGGCAATGAGTTGAGGACATCGACAATTTGCAGTCAAAGCAATGTGAGTTGGGGAAAGTTCAAAATACGCACATCCAATGGTAAGCCGATAGGAAATCTCATGCCATTGAATGTGAATCCCGAAAGATCCTCTAAGTCTTCGTTATCTATTATATCGCCTCTTCATGGTCAGCAGCATTTGGAAAGTAATTCTGAAGTGTTTGACAAACAAAAAATTGTGGGTGGAGAAAAAGACGTGGATACTTCCGATTTTCATGGATCTAGTAGTAGCCTCATGGTTGATGCAAATAGAAAGAAACTACCTATACTAAAACTAAAATCAAAGATTTTTCAGGGCAAGACCAGCTTAGATGTTCCCTCGGGTGCTGCGGGTGAGTCAACATCTAAAATGACTTTTCCTGATAAACCAAATGACATGCCTCAATTCCACGTAAATGGTGGTGAAGTTTATGACAGTGAATCAAATGTTAGCCTCCATAACCAAGAGGCAGAAGCTGACTCACCTGACATTGCGACTGATTCAACTCGTAGAGCCAGATCCTTCAGGTTGAATGCTACCTCACGGGAGATGGAAATGGGTGCTGATTATCTACAACCAGGCACATCAAGAGGGGCAAAAAGGTCCTCCAAGAAAGCTATACATTTGCCATCAGAGGGATCCAAAGAAGCTGAAACATCTCGGTCTTCCAGAAACAAGCACCATACTCCAAAAAAATCAAATTGGCTGTTGATGTTGAAGCAGGAAGAGGGATATCGTTACATCCCTCAGCTAGGAGATGAAGTTGCGTACATGCGACAGGTAGAGACAACTAACTGTCAGTTTCCCATTTTGCCAATGCTTTATTATTCTTGTTTGGCTTTGTTTGGTCCCATACAGGATGCCCGATACACAACCCCCTAGGCCCCAATAAAATCAAATGAGACCTATTTATTTAATCACTAATCAAATGAGGCCTTGGTGACTTAATTAATCACTATTTTCACCTTTAATAACGTGCAGGGCCATCAGGATTACGTAGAGTCGAGTCGGACATTACAGCCTGGTCCTTGGGTGAGGTATGGAGATTCGATCAGAGCCGTTGAATTTTGTTTGGTCGAAGACCTCAAGTATACAACACATTCTGGTTCTGGAGAGAGCTGTTGTAATATCACACTCAAATTCATAGATACGTCATGTAGTGTAGTTGGCCAAAAATTTCGACTTGCACTGCCTGAACTGGATGACTTCCCGGATTTTGTTATCGAGAAATCACGGTATGACGAATCCATGGAGAGAAGCTGGGAGATTAGGGATAAATGCCTTGTGTGGTGGAGAGATGCAAGTCCACAAGGTGGTACATGGTGGGTTGGCTGTATTACTGCTATCAAAGATAAATCTAGTGATTTCCCTGGAAGCCCATGGGATCGATATCTTGTTAGGTATGAGAATGAGAGCACTGATTTCACCCACTCCCCTTGGGAACTGCACGACCCAGATAGGTTATGGGAGCAAAGAATCGTAGATCCTAAATTCTTCAAAAGCCAAGAGAAGATCCTAAATTCCTTTGCTAAATTAGTCGACACAGCTAGTAAAGATAAGGTATTTTTGTTTCCCTTTTCTAACAGATACATATGTTTACATGACAATGGAATGATGGATGGGGAATCTTATGTCTTACAGGATCGGTACGGTATCTTGAAATTAAACGAGGCTGCTCAGAAGTTGGATTTCATGAACAGGTATGTACAGTATTTTATGTTGCGTGTCGTATGTACGAAACCAACTATTGAAAATTTGAATTTTATTTGCAGGTTTCCGGTTCCACTATCTCCGGAAATAATCAAGTCAAGGATGGAAAAGGAGTATTATAGGAGCATGAAGGCAATAGAGCATGATATTGAGGTAATGATATCAAATGCTGAATCTTACTTTCAGAAAAATACGGAGCTTTTGAGAAAGATGAAGCGCCTATCGAGTTGGTTCGGTAGAATCTTCTTAGACTTTTAGTGATCCAATTTTATTTTATCATGATCACCTCATAGAATTACTTCCTCTTTCTTAACTCTTTGTTTTATGGCCGCTAATTTGCTGATGTTACATTTTCGTAATCTATTGTAAGTTCCTTGTTTTTTTGACTTAGATTGCATCCAATTTTTTTAATTTTTTTTTTTGGAAATTAATTTTATAAGAAAAGAATGAAGAAGTTTCGTATAATTGGTCCTGTATTGTTCATGTGTTCATGCAAATTGTAATGTAAGGCGCGTTGGGCCCAATTTGTGCTAGCGGAACAAAGCATAAACAGCCCAACTCAGAGAAATTTTCCCGCTCATTTCATGGTTACAGTTGTCATTTACTTAATTAATTATTGTTAAAACCATGAATTACATTCATAATTTAAGATTACCAGTTAATAATAATAATAAATATAAAAAGTACTAATAATGAAGGTTTCGGAAGTTTTAAAACTCAATAATTCATTGATTTGAAGTTGAGAATTTCTAGGGCTTATTCTCGAGTGCTGAAATAGGCCCAATTATAAATATGGGCTTTAGTTATACTGTCTTGTAAATTTGTACTAGGCCGAACAGAGATGGATCGGCCCAAGAACAAATAATTGAACGTTGAAAGCACGCGCCGCATGGCTCTCACTTCACTATTTTCCCGCTAAAGCTCGCCGGCTGACGCGCTTCCCCATTTTCATTCCCGCCTTTCCCCCTTCTGTGTGCTCTCTCTTCTTCTGTATCTGTGCTTCCCGCCTTCAAAACTCTCCTCTACTTTTCCCACAAATTCCGTCTTCACTCTTCAGACAATTGATTCTGCCCTAACTCTTTCTCTCTCTACATATACACTCGGGCATATACGTATAGAGTGATAACAAAATGGCTCCATCGAAGAAGGTGAGCAACGGACGGTCGCCGCTGGTCAATCAACAGCGCCAAATCACTGCATTCTTCGGTAAGAAGCCGGATTCTTCGCCGTCTCCCTCCCCTTCGCCGTCTCCTGCTCTGTCCAAACAAAACCCTAACCCTAACCCTAACAAAAGCCCGAGCCTCAGCCCGATCACTCCATCACCTCTTCAGTCAAAACGCAAAAAGCCTCTCCTCATCATCAGCCCTAACTTGGCTTCTTCGTCTTCACCTCCTGAAAGTCGAAGCTCTGATAAGAAATCGTACGGAGCAGAGATTGTTGCCAGAAGGGTCAAGGTTTATTGGCCATTGGACAAGTCTTGGTATGAAGGATGTGTGAAGTCGTTCGACAAGATATCGGGAAAGCATTGCGTGCAGTATGATGATGCCGATGAGGAAATGCTGAATCTCTCGGAGGAAAAGATTGAGTTGATTGAGGAGCCGGCGAAGAAGAAGCTCCGAAGACTAAGAAGAATTTCGGTGGTGGACGAAGAAGAAGAAGAAGAGGATGATCTCAAAGAACTAGAAGATGATTCGGATGATGAGGATTGGGTGATAAAGGCTGATGAAAATAAAACATTAGAGGATGAGGATTGTTTGGAGGAAATGGATTTGGAGGTGGAAGATGAAGAAAGTGGAAGAGGGGATATTGGGAAGAAGTTTAACTCCAGGAAATTAAAGGTGGATGAAGGAGAACAAATGGTATCAGTTTCGAACAAGAAGAGGAAGACCGGTGGAGAGTGTAAGAGTAGTGCTTCTAAAGCTCCTTTTGCTGGCGATGCAGAGAAGCTGGTGGACTCTACTAAAAGAACCAGTGCTTCTAGTAAGTAATATGGTTTTTGTTTTCTATAAAATACGAGGAACTTCTGTATGCTCTTTGTATATGATAAGCTAATTTCTTGTTCAAGCCAAAAAAATGTTGGTTTAATCTTTTGGAATGCCTAACTTATAGAAAGGAATTTGAGGTTTTATTGTTCATATTTTCTTCCTTTATATTTGTGTTTTTTGTCACTATGTTCCAGTTTTGCTATTGGTATGAATGGTTTACTTTGCGACCTTCTGGCCGTGTAATCAGAAGTAATTTAGATTATTTGTATATAGGTCCGAAGGTATCTCCTCTGGATAGCTCTAAAGTGGGAGATGATGCAGAAAGGTTTGTCTTGCGTGAAGCAGACAAGTTTGGCTTTGTTGAGAAGTAAGTTGTATACAGTTTATCTTTCTGCGTATAGTTTATTCAAATCAGTCTGATAGGAAAATCTGGGAAATTTGAAGCTGCTATCCATCGTTTATAGTTTATGGTTTAAGCTAACCTCCATTTATAGTTTATGGTTTAAAGGCATTTTCATTTTCTCCGTCCTTATTTCTTTTGTAAAACAGAAATCGTAAGGATGCCGAAGGTAGGCGCCCTGGGGATGTGAATTATGATTCAAGAACCCTTTACTTGCCACCTAGCTTCGTAAAAGGTTTAACAGGTGGCCAGGTAATTGATATTCTTAGATGATGATTGTAACTCTCTTTATGAACATCATAACATTGTGTATCTGATGCATTTGTTAATATTAGAGGCAATGGTGGGAGTTTAAGGCGAAGCATATGGACAAGGTCCTCTTTTTCAAGGTAATGCCCTAGTTTATTCAGGATAATTGCAAGTCAATGCTATCATCTTCATTAATTGATCCTATTTTTTTATTAAAATGTGATCCTTCTATTTTATTGAATCAGATGGGCAAGTTTTATGAACTTTTCGAAATGGATGCACATGTTGGAGCCAAAGAACTTGGTTTGCAGTATATGAAGGTACTGTACTCATTGATGGATTGTAGCTTGTCTACGTCGGCTTGCACTCTGTAGATTAATGGTTAATGAGACAGGAACTGAGGAGATGTTGTCATTAATCTTCTCTTGATGTTTATAGTCTCTATGGGACGAATGTTTAAACAGATTGAAGTTGCACTCTCTATATTACTTTAGCAATAAAATTTCTATCTGATAGCTGCTTTTGCTTGAAGGGAGAGCAACCTCACTGTGGATTTCCAGAAAAGAACTTCTCAATGAATGTAGAGAAGCTGGCAAGAAAGGTTGTTGCATACATTTTTAATCTTTATGCCTCCTATCTCTAATGCCTCCTTGTAATTTCCGTACTGTTGAAAGGCTTTTTGATACGAATATTTTAATGTTAACAGGGCTATCGTGTTCTTGTTGTGGAGCAAACAGAGACACCTGATCAACTCGAGGTTCGCCGTAGAGAAAAGGGCTCTAAAGACAAGGTAATTCTAACATTGATCTCCGAACTTACACACCAATTTTCTTTTATATTATCATATATTGTAATTTGGGGCTAATAATTCTGTCATCTTTTTTGCAGGTTGTGAAACGTGAAATATGTGCTGTGGTATCAAAAGGCACTTTAACAGAGGGAGAAACGCTTTCAACCAATCCTGACGCTTCCTATTTGATAGCAGTGACTGAAAGCTGTCAAATTTCAGCAAATGAAAAAGGGGTTCATGAATTTGGTATCTGTGTGGTTGATGTTGCGACAAGCAAAATAATCCTTGGGCAGGTATGGGGGAATAACTTTACAGTATAATGTATTACAGTAATGCATATAAAGAGCTTGTTGTGCATAGATACGGTAGTGCTCTTTCATACATGTAACTTTTTGCTTTATCTACAATATACTGCTATTGCACATATTTACACAGAAATTAGCCTTCTTATTACTTAGAACATGAATCAATCTTATAAGAAGATGGTGAGTCATATGATGCTAATTAATGTCTCATGTCTGTATTTGTATCTATATTTGGGATTAGCTTGGAGCATGAATGGTAGATATCTAATTATATGGGTTTTGGGCCTATGATGGTAAACTTTCATCGTGCTCTTTGTTTTCTTCTGTTGAGATGGATTCTGAGGGATAAATTATGCTTTTTCTGTCCAGTTGAAGGATGATGCGGACTGCAGTTCTTTATGCTGTTTATTATCTGAATTGAGGCCAGTGGAAATTATAAAACCTGCTAAGTTGCTTTGTCCGGAGACTGAAAAGGCACTGATTAGACATACAAGAAATCCTCTGGTCAATGAGCTGATTCCTTTCTCTGAATTCTGGGATGCTGAGAAAACTATCAACGAAATTATGGGTATCTATCAGCGTGTCAGTGATCGTTCATGTATTTCAGAGGTGAATGAATCACTTGTGCAGTCCTCTAATTCGTCTTTGAAAAATGATGGTACAAACTCTCTACCGGATGTATTATCCAATCTTGTGAGTGCGGGTGAAAATGGAAGCCAAGCACTTTCAGCGCTTGGTGGCACCCTTTTCTATCTGAGGCAGGCTTTTCTGGATGAAACCCTCCTAAGATTTGCAAAGTTTGAGTTGCTTCCATCTTCTGGTTTTGGTGAAATCACTCAAAAGCCACATATGGTTCTTGATGCGGCTGCATTGGAAAATCTTGAGATATTTGAAAACAGCAGAAATGGAGATTCTTCTGGGTAACTTACAACATTTTGTCTTGTATTTTTTTTCGTGGAGTTCTCTTTACCAACAATATCTTACTTCTAGATTTCCCTTTCATTTTTGGTATTTGCAGAACATTGTATGCTCAATTAAATCATTGTGCCACTGCATTTGGTAAAAGACTACTTAGAACATGGCTGGCAAGACCTCTGTATCATATTGAGCCAATTAAGGAACGCCAGAATGCTATAGCAGAATTAAAGGTAAGTTTGACACTAAAAGTTCTCTTTGTATATCTAGTTGACTAATTTGGCTTCAAAAAATTTCTCTTGACTATTATGAGACTTGGATTTTTTCTATTAGGTTGCTTTTTCTCTTGAAGAATGTTAATCAGTTTTACTAATCATTTGTATCTTAGGGAGTTAATCAGCCATATGTGCTTACCTTCAGAAAAGAGTTATCCAAACTTCCCGACATGGAGCGTTTGCTAGCACGCACCTTTGCTGGCAGGTGAAGTTGCAACTCTTTTTACTTCCTAATTTAAAATATGTATATGCGTGAGTCCTCTAAATGATTTTATTTATGGTTCGGTAAATACAGTGAAGCTAACGGCAGGAATGCAAATAAAGTTGTTCTATACGAGGACACTGCAAAGAAGAAGCTTCAAGAGTTCATTTCAGCTTTACGCGGGTGTGAAGCAATGACCCATGCATGCTCTTCACTTGGAGCCATTTTGGAGAATGTGCAGTCTAGACTGTTACATCATCTATTAATGCCTGGTATAGGATGAAACTGATTTTCACCATTGTTGTTATTCCTGGTGATTAGCATCTCATATAATAAGTCTATTTCCAGGCACAGGGATTCCCGATGTCCATTCAATTCTGCAACATTTCAAGGATGCCTTCGATTGGGAGGAAGCAAATCATTCAGGGCGTATAATACCTCGAGAAGGGGCTGATATTGAATATGATGCAGCATGCCAAATAGTTAAAGACATCGAATCCAACCTCAAAAAACATTTGAAGGAACAATGCCGATTACTTGGAAATGCATCTGTAAGTACCTCGAAAGTGACCTCAAATATGATCTTAACTGGCTGAGCATCTAACATGATAATTTCTCCTGTAATTTGTAGATCTGTTATGTAACAATTGGAAAAGATGCATACCTTTTGGAAGTGCCTGAGAGTTTATCACAGAGCATTCCAAAGGAATACGAATTAAGATCATCCAAGAAGGTATGACCACAAGTTTTGGTTAATTTTTAAATAGGTTCAGTTATTTGTGTAGCTATTCTTGCTCCAATGCTATGCCTGGAATGAGAATGTGAGAAATACAAAGCATTTATTCTTTGAAATAGAGGGAGATTTTCCAGGTAGAGGACCAGTATACAGTAGAACAGTAGCATGTGGGCATGTTGGGTTTTGCTTTAGTTCTGATCAATGTACTTGTTCATAAGTTCTTCCAAAATGGTCTTTTCATTGCTTACGGGGTGCGGAACGTTATGCTTCAATCTATTTGTGGTCCTTGAAAAATCTTGTAAATTTATCACTGGCTTGTGGTAGACCCCCAGAATTGCCCTCAAAAGTCTGAAGATGCCAGAGCTTCTTTGCCCTCTCTTATTTTTATTTTGTTTCCTAATTTTCCTAATTTTTTGCTTGAATCTCAACCCTTTCTTTCTTTTATTTTGAAATGACAGGGTTTCTCCCGCTACTGGACTCCAGTGATTAAAAATTTATTGGGGGAGCTTTCTCAAGCTGAATCTGAGAGGGAGTTAAAGTTGAAGAGCATTCTTCAGAGGTTAATTGCACGATTTTGTGAGAATCATGCTAAATGGAGACAAATGGTGTCTACTATTGCAGGTAGCAATGTCTTATAATGCGGATGGTGGTGTCCTTTTACTAAGTTATCCTCACTCGAAATAATTGTGTTGCCACTGTTGCTTTTGTATGTTCGGAAATATCTCACGTCTGAGACTTGACTGCTGTTTTGCAGAACTGGATTGTTTAATCAGCTTATCTATTGCAAGTGAATATTATGAAGGGAAAACATGTCGTCCGATTCTGTCTACATCACATCCTCTTGAAGAGCCACGCCTTAGTGCTAAAAGTCTAGGACATCCGGTTCTAAGAAGTGATGCTTTAAGTGAGGGTACCTTTGTCACCAATGATGTCACACTAGGAGGTCCTGGTCATGCCAGTTTTATACTCCTTACTGGTCCTAACATGGGTGGGAAGTCTACTTTTCTACGCCAAGTTTGCCTTGCTGTGATTTTGGCTCAGGTTAGGTGTTGTATCTCTTTTTCAATGTAGCACAAAAAGGTCTCTTATTCTTTACCAATGGTTTCATTGTGATTCTTCACAGATAGGAGCAAATGTGCCTGCGGAAAGTTTTGTATTATCTCCTATCGATCGGATATTTGTTCGAATGGGCGCCAAAGATCAGATTATGGCTGGCCATAGTACATTTCTGACAGAGCTTTTGGAGACTTCCTCTATGTTGGTAAGATAATATTGTGGTTATATTCTTTTATGAAATTAGATCATATTATCATTATGTATGATTCTACTAGATGAAATGTCTTAACTTATGCTATTTTAGCAAGAATACATACAGCTTCCGCTGTACACTATCTGAAATTCTCAAATTAAAGAAATTAAGACTTTTTTGCGCTGAGGTTTGATTTCTTGTGCAGGCTTCGGCAACCTGCAATTCACTTGTGGCATTGGATGAGCTGGGACGAGGGACATCAACATCAGATGGCCAAGCAATTGCGTATGTGCAACTTAAATGAGAATTTAGTTCCTTCTTTACCTGTATTTGTTCTGATACAATATCTGACTTCCAATTGTTATGCGAGTCAGATGAGAAATTACTGCTGGCTGTGATGTTAGTAACAATTGAGAGAAAAAATAATAATAGCCTGTTGATTCACTGGACCATATCAAAAGATCATTGCAGTATTTTATTTTTGAGTTCTCTGATTCTGATTTTTGTTTTTGGCAGTTCATCGGTTCTTGAACATTTTGTCCGTACAGTAAAATGCCGGGGATTGTTTTCTACGCATTATCATAGATTGGCTGTGGACTACCAGAGAGATCCTAAGGTTCGTTGTTATTGTATTTCAAAATTAACTGGAAGTTGAGACTATACCTTGCATACGTCATATGAAAAAAAAACTCTGAGAGGACTCTTCAATGAAGTTAATATCTGTTTATGTATTATTGGCATTATTATTATGTGTGGATGATCAGTAATTACCATGTAGAAGTTGATACTTTCAAGAACCAATTGTATTCCTCTTCAATTATTAAGGCAGGAACTTGGGAGAGAATCCTATTGAATCGATTAGGATTAGTTTTCTGCAATTAGACGGCACATGGATAGCATTCAAGAATTTGTATCTCTTATTGGACTCTTCATTTTGCTGAATCCAACATTTATGCAGGTCTCACTTTGTCATATGGCATGCCAAGTCGAAAAAGGAGTTGATGGTGTGGATGAAGTAATCTTCCTTTACAAATTGACACCTGGTGCATGCCCTAAAAGTTATGGTGTAAATGTTGCTAGATTAGCTGGTGAGTCAACTTTTAACATTAATTTTAAAACCTTAAGGACTGCATTACACTTACGTAGTAGTAAAAGACATTAGTTTAACGTTGGTATTATTTTTTAGGACTTCCTGATACAGTACTGCAAAAGGCTACGACCAAGTCTCAGGAGTTCGAATTAAGTTATGGCAAGAGGTTAAAGCCCAACTTTTGCTCTCAGAGGTGGGAAGACGATGCATATTTGATCATCGAAAACTTGATAAAGATTGCTGCTAATACTGACAGCATGGCTGTTGACTCTTTAGCCAACTTGCAATCTACAGCAAGGTTACTTCTACAACAATATTAGAAAACATGCACTGCACATAGTCTTTTTTCATTTTTGATTTTTTTTTCCTGGGGGGAGGCGGGTGTGAAGTAAGCCAGGTCAGCTGCCACGATTGCATTTCCTTATCTATATTGGAGGAAAATTTTGTTATTTAGTGGCAATGGTGATTCTAACTCAGGCAGCTGAAATTGTATTAGTGCCATTGCCAATTACTAGGGTTCCTAGGTTTCTAATTCTCCAATATAATGTTTGGTGAAACATACGAGCCCAATGAAAATTTTGGTCAAAAGCAACGTGCATCAAATTGTGGAACTTGTACTTTTGTTTATTGTCATTCTATTCGTATAAGGTTTTCTGTATCTCCGTATGTCCGTACAGGGCGGTGAAGTAAAATGCACAAAAGGTATAATATAAACAAATTTGCCTATTCACTAGACTTGGCTATCAATGTTATTATGCAGCCCTTCTTCTTCATCTTCTTCGTCAGATCTTGTCTCAGTATTCTGAAACAGACGCATGCAGATTAAACGGAAGTGATTTTAGGGATGTTTGTTGTTATTGCAAATTAAGATAATGTATGCAGAGAATAATAATATACCTGGTAATGATGTGTAATGCTGTTTTGTAGTGCAGCTATAATCCGGACCAATATGTACATGGGAAGTAGTATACCACTTGCCTTAACAATAAGCACCTGCATTAAACCGAAAAATTAGGAGTTGGTGATGCGAAGTTTATTTGTATTTGTAAGTGAAAGAAGAAGAAACTAACAGTGCGGAGTGAAAATGGGTAAGCACCAGCACCTCCAGTAAGTACAGCAAATAAATGCCTCGTTAGAAGCAGAGCTGTCAACTGCATATTTTTAAAAGTAAACGTTAATCTAATTGGCCTTCTTGCTCGAGTATGTATGTTTCTTCTATATTTAATCGAGTAGTCAAGCTTACAATAAGAGCCACTGATCTGCAGCAGGAAGCACTTCTATCGGCCGCAGATTCGCAGTCCGACTCTTCCTCTGCTTCTACAATTTCTCCTCTATTTTCTTCTTCTTGCTCATTTCTATTTGGTACTTGCAAACTTCCCCTAATAAATTATAAATTTCCATATTTACTAAAGTCGTGTGTTCAAGAACACGTTATTTTAATGAAAGGGAATGCCAGCATGGCAGAAAAGGCAAAAGAAAAAAAAAAAAAAAAAAAGGTGGAATACACCTACCTTATGGTTACTGTTGTATCAATTAGCTGTTTCTTCTCAGGTGGAGATGTGTACCCAGGTTCAAATTTCTGCAATTATTTTATAATAACAAAAAATAAATAAAAACAGAGAGAGAAAGTTACTTTTTTTAATATAACCTTTAATTTTTTTGTGAAAAAATAAAAAAGTAAATAAAAATATCCCATCTCTGAAAAGACAAATAAAATAAGAAAAGAAGCCTCCCATTTGAAGATAAATAAAATAGAAAGCTTACGTATGTAGATAAGAACATATATTAATATAGCTAGCTATATGTCCCATTCCTTGCACATAGTGAAAAAGAAAGCTCCATACATATATGTATGTATATACACTATTTTTATACTCCAAAGATAGAGACAGAAATACACACACGTACGTACAGAGAATATAGACGTATACGGTTTGACATAAGTATATTTTGATCCATAAATGAAAAACTGAGAAAACAAGGTATTATTCTAACAGCAGGACAAAGAAAGAGACAACTTCGGCAGTCCAGAACAGAGAATAATATAAGAAACTTCTAGAACAGGGGAACAACTAACAATTTTCCCCAAAGTCTTCTATTTAACACACAAAAAATAAATAAATGAAAAAGGAAAAGAAAAATAAATGAATTGATCAACACAAACAAAAAAAGAAAAAAAAAAACCTGTAAGCAAATTTCACAAGTTGTGTTCCCCTTTTCATCGCACCATCTCTGTACGCAATCTCTGTGTGCAAACTGTAAAAAATGATCGTATGATCAAATAAAATAAATTAAGAAACATATATACATAATATAATATGATTATGATCAATAAAAAAAACATATATATGTATACCTTAACAGTACCAGAACAAGCACAAGGGGATTCAAGGCTTTTAGAGCTTTCGAATTCTTCTTCGTGGCATATTCTGCATATTGATGATGATGATGATATTCCTGAATATGATGATCTCATTTCATCTATCAACAACACAACCTCATCATCACTCATCATCATCATCTTCCTTTCTTTTTTGAAATTTATATTTTCAGACTGTTTTTTCCGGTAGTGTGGGGGGCTGCCTTTGTTCTGCGTTTCTCTCTCTAGCTTAGCTACTTTTCTCTTTCTTAGTGCTGTATACTTTTGTGGAACTCGTTTTTATGTAAGAAGAATGTGGTTGGGAAATTCCAAAATTACCCTTACTAATTTTTTTTTTTTTTAATTCTTTTTTTTTTTTTGGGAAATATGAGTGTGGATTAAGGAATACAAAATATCAAGTTGGTTGGACTTTGTCAAAACGCGCACCACACCACATCGCAAAGGTGTTAAGCAAGTCTTTTCAGTTTTGACCTTGTGAACTCATGCCACGTTGACTTCTCTTATTTATACTTATTACTTACACATTTATCAATACATTGTCAACCACTAATTATCATCTTAAATGGATAATCAGGTCCACCCTCCTCCAAATTCGGTCTTTGCTAATTTTGATTTATTTCATATCAAAATCGATTGAGTTAACTTTAATTTTGTTAATTATTCCATAAATCAGATGACATGTGTACATTGAACTGAACGAGCATTGTGCGACGAACTTGACCTGAAAAATACTGATCGAACTTAATCTGAAAAATGCGACCAACTAGATCAACATTGCGTCCAGTTTCTTAAAAGAATGTTCCCTTATCTTTGTGGATTATCCCATTACATAATAGTCCTTTGAAATTTAAATATATTTAATTTTGTTTTACTACTCTTCCCCCACCCAAAAATACATTTATGCCAAAGAAACTTTCTTTCTAGAAACAATAATGATATATAACAATCACTAGTTCAATGTATTTAGGACCCCCCAACTAAACATAATGGATGATGTGATCTAGTGGATAATATATAAACCTATGTTCAATTTAATGAAAGAAGAATAAAAGTATCAATTTAATTATAATTATTATTATATCCCCTCAAAATCTTATATTCAACAAATTGTGTATGGTTCAATAATTACAAACGAGTAACGGACTGCAAAATAATTAGTGATCAGAAATAAAATATGGTTTTGTGGAATGAATGATGGCCAGCCAGCCAGACATGTGCCTAATTTAGCTCAACAAGGTACAGAAAAATCAATTTAATTTTTTCTTAATTTTTGTGGTTTGCTTTTCGCAAGTTCTAAAGTGAGGTCTAATATGATTGCCGATTAACGGCTCTTGGATTATCAGATATTAAATAAATAAATAAATAATATAATATAATAAAACGGGCCCCACTTACGGTCATCAAAACAAACGGAACCACGCGCTCTCACCGCCTCGGCCCAAACGAGCGGCCCAGATTATCTGGGCCCACATCCCTTGTTTCTCCACTGTTTAGGAATTTCCGGTTTATTTGTTGAGAAATTTATCCGAATAAATTCTGGATAAATATTTTATTTTCAAGCAGCTATATAAATTCAGATAATAAAAATTATTACACAGAAAGAAGGTAGTCACACAAATTGTGTACATACATTAGATTTCTCAATTAACCATATAGATATTGCTAATCAAGATAAATTATTACAAACAGACCTTTGTTAATAATAATGCATCAATAATAGGTGAGAACTAACAACGGTATAGCTATAGTAACACTAC